TGACTGATGCTCAACTTCCCGAGAGCATCTTACTGCACCTTCTTGGTCTCACTTTTTCCACTGACCTCTGGTGCCCTCTCACCGTTCATCTCGAGGTTCTCAGCAAAATCCAAAGACAGATATGCAATGTGATAGGTCTTGACCTGGCATCTCAACTCCAGTCACTTTCTCACCAACACAGTGTGGCTTCCCTGTCTTTTCTATAAATATTTTCATGGCAACTGCTCTGATGAACTATTTTCACTGGTGCCCCGACTGTTTGAATTTAAGCATGCTACTAGGTTGGCATCTCGGTCCCACCCTTTCACTGTGAAAACAGTTAAATGTAACCACCTCTTCTACTCCAACAGCTTCTTCTCTCACACTTCCCGACAGTGGAACTCCCTTCCTCTTACTTGTTTCCCTAATAGCTATAATCTTCAAAAATTTAAATGTAATGTCAATCAACATCTTCTGATGCCTTGATCCAATAACCGTCCTTCTCTATATCCTTTCTTCAAACACCCCTCTTTTCTTTTACTTTCATTCTCTGTAACCCCTTGCATGCTAGTGGCATTGTTTAACTTTGTTTAACTTTTGGAACACATTTTTTTTGTTAATCCAGTACATGTTTGGATTTTAATGTCACATATTCCATCCTCTGTTAAAACATTTCCCAGATATTTAAACTTCTATCCTTTTTGATGCCAACACTTCCATTTTGTAGTTCACATCTTGGGTTTTTCTCTTTCTGACAAACAGACATTTTATCTTAAATGACATTTTATTTCCAAATTGTTATGATGGTTCCTAGATTTTATGAATTTAAGTGCAGTACTAAATTGGCAATGACGTCTCACCAATTTACAAGTTGAGTTGGCGAGATGTAACCGTAAGTTCTTTGCTATCAGTTTCTTTTCTCACACTTTTCGCTTGTGGAATTCTCTTCAGGTTTCATACTTTCCAGCCAACTTTAATCTTCAAAAATATAAATGCACTGTCAACTGTTATCTATTGTCTTCTTGATCACTCTTCTATTGCTCCTTAATATTTTTCTATTTCTTTCACACTCAGCAATCCTTTGTGTCTTTGTGGCTTTACTGCCTTGCTTGGAGTGAAAAAAAAAATGTAAGATTTTTATTCCAGAGGAAAGAGCATTTAATTCTGACTGGGAATTATGAAAATTTCACTGGAAAAAGTACTTTTTCTTTTCATTTTTTTTTCTTTTTTTAATAATTTCACTGCAAGCAAAGCATTAAAGCCACTAAGATGCAAGAAATTATTGAGTGTTAGAGAATAATTTAAAAAAAAAAAAAAAAAAAAAAAAAAAAAATGTAGCTCAAACATTTCTAAAGTTATGTAACATATCGGTATGAATGTGCAGCTTGGAATGAGAAATAAGCAAGCGAAGTTTGAAATCTGATCGAATTTCTTACGTTCCTTTTTGCCCAAATACTCTTGAGAAAGATATGCATTCCTCTCTTCATTTCTCAGTTATGAATTAAATAGCAAGGCGGAATGGGCTCTCAAGCCATGGTTAGCAACCATTCTAGCAAAAGAACAATTCAAAATCACTTGTAGCCCTAGCACAGTACAAACTATGAAGCCATTGACAAGATCATTGAGTTCACAATGACTATAATCTCAACTGTGATTGACCTACGACCATATCACTGTATTAGTTATTATCATGAAACATTAAAAAGATAACCACATAAATATTCAGTTACTATTCATGGAATATTTTTAATAGATCTTTTTTTCTTTGTCAGTTATTATATATTAAAAAATTCAAATTAATTAAAAACTTTTAAAAATCAGAATCATTTTTCCTTTTTTCCCCAAATTACAATTTCCTTCAATAATCAATAAATCCTGACAGTTGCATGAACTTTTGATCTTGTTTTATAAGTGTCTACGATGTAAAATTTTTTTTTAAAATAGAAATTGGTCAGTGTGATGTAAAAATAAATATCATGTTTCTGGCTTGGGTAGGGGGGTGGGAGTCATGAAAAACTATCAATTTCGATAGAACTATGAAAAATAATTACAATGGATTCAGAAAGAGAAAAAGAAAATTTGTTGAGATTAAAAAAAAATAGAAAGTATTTTCAGGTGACTAAGTTATTGACTGAAAATGAAGACATGTGCGAATGATGTTTTGATGTTTGATGATTTGCAAGCGGTCAGAAGTAAAGTTTATATCAGGAAAAGGATCGATTGTGAACAGGTTACGTTCATTTGTGTGTGTGGGGGGGGGAGAATGTTTTTAATCAAATGATAGAATTGTTTTGAATTCTGACATTAAATATTTTTATTATTTATTCTCGATTAGTTTACTTTCTTTCATTGTTCTTTAATCACACACTTTACACTAAAACCAGTTGTGCCTGCACTTCATCACATTGTCAGCAATCTTGACAAAATGCCTTGTCACTGGCATGCCAAAAAGCTTGATCAAGGAAAGAGGAGCAGAATGTGCATTTGAGCAAACCATTCTTCCATCACTTTCTTGTGTGTTCAAGCAATTTATTTTAAGTAATGTGTCCTTTCAGGATGTAAGTGGTGATGGCTCTCCACTGATTCCTCTTCTTTATTATCTATGAGCTGACATGATTTCTTGGGAAAGATAGTGGAGTTATTTCCTGTTGCCTTCTCCACAGTTTTGAATTCAGAGTAGTTCTTTTCCTAGACTGGTTGCCATTCAAGGCTAAAGAACCCAGTCTACCATTCTATTTTGCCCATAACTAGAAGAAATAAATTCAGGCCTTTCTCAAGAGTATTAATATGAAAATGAACTCAACAGATATAGGTTAAATTGTAAGGTACACTAGACTCTCTAGCCTTGATTGGCAATCAATCTAGAAGGACAACTCTAAATTCAAAACTAGCAACTCCATCCTGTAAAAATCTACTTGCTACATTAACCACAACAGCAACAACTAAGGTGGTGAGGCAGTGGCCCAATACTCTACAGGGGACTGGCAGTGAGGAGGAGGAATTTAAACTTGGCTTACCCATTCCACTTTTAATACTGATAACCATTACATAATTCAACCCTAAGCCATAGTAAAAAAAATAAAAATAAAAGAAGCTGTTACTCACATTGTGACCAAAGACAAGAGGGAGGGGGGGTTGCAATAGTCTAGGATCAGATAAAACAGCAAGAAAATAGGGTGGGTAGAGGAGGGGGGAAAAACGAAGTAAATATAGAATACATGTTCATCTCCTTTTGGTAGCTACTCCCTATCCCCCAAGCCTATACCTTTTTCCCTTTTGATTTTATGCTGCTTACTTTAAAGGTATTCTAAAACCTACAATATTGTGATAAAGAGCAACAAGGAAAGGAATAAAACTAATCAATAAATAATAATAGAAATGAGATTGAGAGAAAAAAAAAAATCAAATAAGGTGGAAGAGGAATCCCTTTGTTTTGCAACTTTACTGCCATTCATTTCATAAACCTTAGAAAAAGAGAGAGAGCATTGATACATGATCATTTACTTACAATTCTCATCTTTTTTATTTCTTTCATGAATATTGCAAATCATCAAAAGCAATAAAACAATTTTTCTTCTCTACTTGACTCAAAATTAATAAAATATGATAATTCTATTAAAATTTCTTTTTTTTTTTAAATGCTGTGCCTCTTCAGGACATAAGTGACTATGGTTATCAACAAATTTCTTTTCTTTATTATTCATAGATAGTCATAACTTCCCGAGAAAGATAGCGGAGTGGTTTTCCCATAGCTATCTCCAGTTTTGAATTCAGAGTAGTTCTGTTAGACTGGCTGCCATCCAAGGCTAGAGAACCCACAGTTGGGAGTAAAAGAGACGTATTCATACCTTTTCCAAAGCCATTAGTGCAAAAGCAAACAGAGAATTTGAACTTGGCTAACTAATTCTACTTTGTGCTGTCAACACAGCTTCCTTTTTTATCAGCACCATCTCTATATCAGTTTAACAATTTGTGCTCATAGCCAGTTCTCAGAATGTTTCATTTATTTTACCCAGTTGGCTTTTTCTCTTCTTTTGTCAAAATATTCTCAAGCAAATGATTTCTGGATCACGTGCAGTAAAATTGCAAATTGCTAGGGTCCCAACCGTTCTGTTAGATACTGGTGGGGAAGGTGGCATGGAAAATGGATATAAATATCCAAATCCTCCCCCACTCCAAATCTCCAGACAATCGATGAAAAATGTTTGGAAATTACATCATAGAAAACAGATAATATTTTCCAGGCGAAAAATCACAAATGAAAAAAAAAGAAAAATCTCAGATTGTTGCAAAGAGGCAGAAACAAAACTGAAAGGAAAACCTTATGAATGCAGCGCAAGAATTGTTAAAAGCCAGAAGCTTTTTTTTTCTTTATTATTTTTTTTTTATATATGTTTAAACATTATAAACGAGAAAAGAGGAGGAAAAGAAATGTTAGATAAACACTGCAGTTTTTATTTCCATTATTTCAATTTGGACTAATGTCCATGTCTTTGTTGTTATTATCCAGATGTAAATAATGACAACACCTTGTCCCAGGAATTTAGACAAAAAAGATGGGATTGGACAGAAAAAAAGAATGTCTAAAGAAAAAAAAAAAAAAAAAAACAAATAAAAAGAAAAACCTTCCATTTTCTCTGCAAAAGGGAAATTGATGAATTATGCTTTTTCCGTAATATTCCATGTAGAAATCCGAGTATCACCAAATTTTAGATAAAAATAATGGATTAAAAGATTATTATAAGAATAATGGATTAAAAGATTATGATCCCAAGAGAGATGATGAAATATTAAGAAATAAAAAAATTAGAAAGGATTAATAAGAATAGATTATCAGATTAAGAATAAAAACTAAAGATTAAAGGAATATGTTATGGATTAATAATGAAACATGATTTAGTGGCTTCAGATTAAGAAGATTTAAGATTAAAGCATTAAAATAAAAGACCAATGATGAAAATTCTTGAAAAAAAGAGATTATGCAAAAGATTCTGGCTAAATGTGCAAAATGTTGAAATTACCACAAAAAGGCAGCACACTGGATCGTAAATATTTCTTGTCAGCATGCATCAACTTCCAGAATTTGATGAGAGTGATGATATCTTCTCTTAGTTCAGAACCCCGCTGCGTAGGACAGATTACAGGTCCACTGAAACAAAAAAAAAACATTTGGAAAATATGAAAATCACAACAGATATAGTGCTTATTTTGGCAGGTCTGATTCAAGGCTACATTTTTGGAGATTCCAGTGAGGTTCAAACATGCTATGGTGCCTAAAAATGGCACACTTTCTACTGCAGAACAAATAGATGCTTCTTTTTGCTGTTACGGAATGAATATGCTGGACCAGAATGGCAAACTACTGGTCAGATGACCCCATGAGTGTAGAATTCTGATGTCCTTTAAGTTTTGATATAAAACAAAGAACGTTTGAAGACACTGAGACTGCTGCAAGAATTAGAAGAGTCAAGATGCCTTGCCACACATAGATTCCTTAGTAAGCCAACACATGAGGATGAGATTTTTGCCAATTTGTTGACATCCATCTTCTCGATCATCTCTCCACCTCCTAGAAATGGTGCTACAACTACTGTCCATCATAAAATAAAGCAAATAAAAGGAAAATTTTCCATTGTTGATGTAGTCTATGAAGTAACATTGGGATTTGGATAGTTGAAAACAGAGATGACACAATACACAAAAAAAGTCTTTGCACTGTTTGCGACACCATAAACATTGAGATTAACCAATTTTTTTTTTTTTTTAGGATTTTTCAAGTTCTACAAACCAAATTGGAATACCACTTTTTATTAAAATATGAACATGAGATTAAATTGAACAAGCTTCAAACTATACTTGACTAAGGAGTTGAAAAAACAAAAAAATAAAAATATAAAATGAAAAAAATAAAACAAAAAATAAAAATAGTGCAGATTTAGTGCATGTGCAGATTTAGTGCATGTCTATGCATGTGAATGTATATATGAATATTTTGGATACTTGTTAAGGTTAAGAATACAAGTAACAGCTTTTATTCTACTCCCTGAACAGGTAAACTGTTTAAGGGAGAGAGGTTTGGCAAAAAGCTAACATCTTCACTTTCTTTTTTGACAATCATCATTTATCATCAAAACATATTCTGGATTGTAAGAATATTTTTTTTATTTTTTAGCAAGTGAATATTGTATTAAAAATTTCTTTTTTTGAAATAATGAGTTTTCACAGAGACTTTGGTGTCATAAGGTTTTGGCAACCCATTCTCCAGCCTTCAAGCTGAATGCGAAAGAGTTGATCTTATCACTATGTCTACCACATTTCTTTTGTTACTATTTTCAGATCTGCATGCATAATAAAAAAAAACATTGTGATGGGTTTATAAAAACTGAGAATGAGACACAGTCAAAAATATGGATTAGTCAACATTGTTATGGTGCCAACATAAGTGACAAAGAATTAACTAAATAATCACGATTACTCTTGGTGTCTGTCTATATTTCTGAGATGAGGTATTATGTACATTATTTACATTATTCGGACTATTGTCTGAATCTTTGTCGCCATATTTATTACAACGTTTCGGCCATTATACATTCAGTTGGTTGGAAGGTCAAACTGAACCCTTTATTTCCCTCACTGGGGTAGACTGTTCTAGTGTCAATTATCAGTTATCTCCTCCTTAATTTCCTGCCTTAACCAGGTATTGAACTCACACTCCTGACTCCTGTTACTGGATCTAATTAACACCTTTATCCACTGTGCCATGTGTCCTTAAGGACATCTGTGTATGAATTTCTGGGTATTATAAACCTAATGTCTTCAGCAACCATTTTTTACCAGAGCTCATATTGCAATTTTTGTTGTTATTATCCCTTTTCTCTGGCACTCCTTATTACTGGTTCCTATATTGTATTCATTTCTATGCTTGGTTGGCTCAGGAAATTTTTGTGGCCTAGCATATGTACCGATTCCTTAAGTTTATGAATTTTCCAATGGTGTTTTTTGTCTATGATCTCAACCTGATCCCACAGAGGGCGGTGATCTCCCTTTTCTCTCCATATGCGGTCAGCCACGCCTGATTTTTTCACTCTCCTCGTGTTACAGCTTACTGGTGTTCTTGAAGCCTTACCTTAAGGGGGCGGTCCTTCTCCCCTTTATATTTCTTTCTGCAGCTGCACAGGATAGCGTGCACAGTCTTTAGTCATGTTCTCCTCTATGGGGGTGGGGGTCTTACTTGGGAGAGATATCTGCAAAGTGTCGTCTGGCTTTTGAAGGTTGTCCTGATCTTATATGGACTACAGATCCTTTTCTCTGATAAACCCCTTCACATAAGGCAGGCAGACTGTTTCCCCGAGTGTTGTTGTCCTCCTCTTGTATCCCAGTTTTTTGGGGCTGTTGCCATATGCCCAGGATAGTTGTTACGTTGTAGGGTACTACTTATACTGACCAATTCTTTATCTAATGTCTCTGGGTTGCCACTTATGACTTTTGCTCGATGTTGTAAGCAGTGGACGATCCCTTTCTTTATGCTGTATGGATGGTGGGAGTTGAAAATGAGGTACTGTCTGGTGAATGTCGGCTTACGGTAAACAGATGTCTTGAACCTATGCTCTGTTCGAGATATTAGAACATCCAGGAATGGGAGTGTGTTGTTACTCACTTTCTCCATCATGAACTGTTATTGAGTTCACATGGTCCAGTAGAACCTGAACATCTTCCTGGTGTGGCCAGAGTATGAAGGTGTCATCTACGTACCTTAACCATAGAGTTGGCTTTAGAGATATAGATTCTAATGCCATTTTCTCAAAGTATTCCTATGTATATATTCGCCATTGCTAAGCTCTCATCCTGTCGATATATGTGTGATCCCATTCCAAAGTTTGTTGTTTGTGTACAGAAAGTCAACATCTCCATCAGATTATCTATTGGAATACTGGTCCGTTCTTCTAGGGAAGAGTCAGAGGCCAATCTGTCTCTGACTACTGAGAGTGCCTCCTCCGTGGGTACCTTGGGAACAAACTCACCACGTCCAAGCTCATCATCTGGTTGTATAGGATGGGAGCATCTTTGATTATTTCCACGAAGTGGGCAGAGTTTCAGACATATGAAGGAGACTTTCCGATCAATGGGCCAATTATATCTACAAGGAAGCGACTCAGAGGGTGGCAGAGCCTTGGCAACTAACAATCGGCCTGAGTGGAATACCATCTTTGTGAATTTTAGGGAGACTATGTGTGTGGTAGCTTGGTGTAATGCTGTGATAACTGCCTATATGTCTTAGGTGCAAAGTGATCCTTGTTTTTGATTAGTATCTGTAGCAGTTTGCATTGTAGGATCCTTTTTTACTTTGCTGTAGCTACCATTGCTAATGAGGTCTTCCAGCTTTCTTGTATAATCTGATTTGTCCATCACTTCACTTGCATTGTCAGCCAGTAGTATGATGATGTTTTCGTTCCTCTGTAGGGATCCGATCGCCAGCCTCTCCAGTTTCATGATGTTTGACCTGGGCGGCTTGGCCTTCTCCAAGGTCTGTCTCAACTTCCATCTCAGTTCATCCGCCTGAGCCTGAGGGAAACTCAAGGCCACCTCCTTGACTCTGGTAATGATGTCCAAGTATGGCACTTGTCTGATAGTTGTGGCAAAGTTGAGACCCTTATTCAATACTGACTCCTCAGAAGCACTCAGCTGATAATGTCTGATGTTGACTACTTCTTTCATTGGTGGATAATGGACCTTGTGCGTCACCTTCTGATCTTTCAATCTGTTTAATTTTTGTACTTGGCGAGCCTTGACTACATCAAACAGGAGGATTTATCCAGGCCATTTTGGATCCTTTTCTGGTCTTCTTCATTGGTAATTCTGTTGAAGAAATCCTTGAGCCTCTGGGAGATATGAGCTTGTAGTCTCTGTTTTATCCAACAATTGTACTGGATTCTCTCTCAGAAAAGGGCGTGTCCCGCTTTTTCTGTGACCAGACAGGCTCTTCTTGAATTGACAGTAAGTCTTGGTGCCAACCTGAAAGGATGAGTTGTAGATCTCTGCATCGGTGTAGGAATGTCAGATGGTTTGATATTCGTGCCAGTTACTGGTAGGATTTTTCAATTTTGTCTCCATATTTTCAGTGTATAATAATAAGTAATAAGGAGTGCCAGAGAAAAGTGATAATAAGAATAAAAATTGCAATATGAGTTCTGGGAAAAAATGGGTGCTGAAGACATTAGGTTTATAATACCCAGAAATTCATACACAGATGAATCCTCAAGGACAGATGGCACAGTGGATAAAGGTGTTAGTTAGATCCAGTAAAAGGAACCAAAGAGTGTGAGTCCTATACCTGGTTAAGGCAGTGGAGAACTTGGAGAGGGAATTAAGCAGGAGATAACTGATGTCATCCATTAGACATGGCATGTGGAACTAGAACAGTCTACCCCAGCGAGTGAAATAAAGGGTTCAGTTTGACCTTCCAACCACCTGAAGAAGGCCGGAACGTACAATGGCTGAAATGCTGTAATAAATATGGCGACAAAGATTCGGACAATAGTACGAATAATGTAAATAGTGTACTCTTGGTGTATAACAGTTTTCACAAAATTTGATTGATTAGTTGATTTGTTTTTTATGGCTTATCAACCCATGTTGGTTAAGTAAAAACATATTCTGGATTATAAGAATAATTCTTTATTTTTTTTTTGTGAGTAAATATTACATTAACAATTTTTTTTTTGTGAAATAATGAGTTTTCAGAGAAACTTTGGTGCAAAAGGATAAATCTTCTAAATCTTTAAATTATTTTGTAAGTAACTAACAATTAACCATTAGATTAGAAATCAGATGCTGAACTCACCAAAAATAGTCCAATGTGGCTGCATAGACCCTTTCCCGAAGCACACTTCGACTCAGGTTATTTGGCAACAGGTCTCCTTGCAGTAAAGAAAGTCCCATTGTTAGTAACCTAGAGAGAGAAAAAAAATAACAATTGTAAAAAAAACAAATAAATGATAAACAAAAATCAACTTTTGCAATTTCACTGCAACATGAAGACCTGTTTAACTCTTTAAAGATTATGCAGCTCGTATATGGATCAATCAGATTACGCAGCTCATATATGGATCAATCAGATAACCTTCTTCATTTTGATTGTTTTTCTACAATGTTTTTTTCTATGCACTCTCCAGAATAAGGTGTGTGTTTTGTGTTAGAATGTTGAATATTGCTCTGAAGTGATACACACTTTCATTCTCATACACATCTGGTATGTGTGATCTGAAGATGTTGCTTATCTGACCTCTGCACTGAACATTCCCTGTACCTGCTGTGATGTGTGTCACTCAAGGGCATGACCCTCTGAAATGTCAAGTTTATCATTGGTTCAATTTTCCTAATTAACAATTGTTACAAGTAATTAAGGCCTAACATTGATCTGCTGATCATGCTATTTGAACAGAGTACATGTACAGATTCATTCCATCTTATTATTCTCTAGTATTGGTCACTGCTTATAATTTTAATAACAGTCCAAAATGGTTGGTGCATCTCCTAAATAGATGGTGATGAGGTCAATGTATTAAGAGAAGAGTACACTAATGTGTAGCCATATGTCAATATAAGTAACCAGGCGAACCAATGTTTATCACCAAATATGTATTCTATAGACATGCTAGAGAAAGCAAATGTACCGAGAAAGCAAACTTGTAGGGGGTAAAAAACAAGTTAGTAGAGACAGTGTAATGGTTTGGATAACATTTTGCTGAATGAAGAACATACCTTAAGTCCCAACATAATCAAAAACCAGTTGAAACACCTTTAAGGTAGGATTTCAGCAATAGCAATAGTGTCTTTCAACATGGGAATAATTTCAAGAAAATTAAGAAAACTACACTATCTTGCTACCCACCAGATCTCAATCTCATTGAGTACTTATGGGATGGGGTTGGACTTACAAGTACCCCTGCAGAAATTCCATCATCGGACAGGTTTAGACTCAAAAGTTCCCTTGCAGAATGTCCACCATGTAACTTGCAACAATTAAAGGACATGTTGTTAACATTCTAGCACTGGTTACCAGAGGAATTCTTGAGAAGTCTGGTAGTGTCAATGTCTAAGTTGGTGTTGTTTTGCGGCCATATGGCTAAACAACAACAATTTAGCCACAAGTCCTGAGGCTTCGCCTCATCAAAACACACACATATCCACAAGTCTGTAGCATAATGATAAAAAAAGCTCATTTATGCAATAAATATTTTCAACATTATCACTTTGTCAATGCACGAAAGTGCTGAATATTTTATAGGGTGAACATTATACAGTGAAATTTTCAGATCAAAATCCAGTTAATAACTATTTGTCAGTTTGCAAATTTATCAACTGAACCCATTACCTAGAATCTGATCAAATATTGGATTGCTTGGGGAAAGACTTTTTTATCAAGCTGAGAACATTTGAGTACCCAACCCAAGACACACACACACACACATATATATATATATATATATATATATATGAATGAGAGAAAAAGAGAAAGAAAGAGAGAGAGGGAGAGAAACAGAACATAGATAATGTGTGTGCATATCTATGAGAGTTACTGAAGAGCTATTAACTGCCACCAAAATAAAGTTCAACTTTTTTAAAGTGATTGAGAGTTCATGATGTAGTAATTAAAGATCTCACCTGACTCTGGGCCCCAGGGCAGCTGGGTGCCTCGACATTAATCCAGGTTGCTTGCCAACACTGATAGACAGGGATTTATGAAGAAGAGACAGCAAGATATTCACCTGGTCCACACTGCTATACCGTGCAATTTCAACACGCTCGGCCAGGAACTGGGAAGACAGAAAGAAAATTAAATAAAAAAGGTAATAGAAAATGATAAAGTTTTACACAAGAGCAGATTTGGTGGGTGGGTGCTTGGGTGTTGGGCTGCAATGATTGTTCTAGAGAGAGATAGAGAGTCTTATAACTGTTTCTATAGCAAAATTATAATGTAAATAAGTCCTTTCCAAGAAAAGCAAATGTTGACGCTGATTTCAAGAAACACCCTAAAAACATATCGGTATCAAATTTAGAACAACTGTTTTTGTCCCTACTTCAAGAAACAATAAATTTTTGATCTGACCTGGATGAATTAAAAATAGAAAAGGTGGATACCGCCCTACCTTTGTCCAGATCTGATGACCAGCCACCATTGGCGGATTCGGATCCAGACTCTGATCTTCAGTTTTTGCTAGTGGATCTGGCCGAGGTTTGTCTTCTGCAAAAATGCCAAGTTTCTTGTCTACAGTCATTTGCCATGCCATTGCCATTTCACATAGAAACTGGAAGAAAAACAAAAAAATAAAGACAAAAATCATTTCATTCTTTTTATTTGAACCATAATAAATAAACCTTAAATTTCCTAAATATGAAATGTTCAAACTACCACAGCAAAACAAAAAAAAAGATGTCTGGTTATACTTCATTCTAACATTTGGGTTAACTTTCAGAAAAATCCTAATTTTAAGATTTCCTGTCATATAGTAATCAGCTGAATGTTGTTCAGAAATTTTATATTTTTTAAATTTGATCTAAATGATAAATATACATCATTGAATTAACAAGAAAGGGGATTATATTGAAAAATCCCATGCAAATGAAAACCCAGATCAAATGGCAGCCAAGAGAGCTTCCAATGCTGAGAATATGCAAAGACTTAAGGACCCTCAAACTCCTGAATAAACTGAAGGCCTAATTAAGAGCCCTCCACAGGAGCTCACTTAAATGCCACTTGAGAGGGCAGCTTTTCAGCTAGTATTGAATATATTTGTAGTTTAATCTTAAAGAATAATCTTTAAGATTAGAATATAAACATATTCAATATGAAACTAAAAGAAAATTTTATAGTAATACAGACTCAATATAGACTTACAACTTTGATATTTGATTAAATTAGACAAGTTTTCAAGATTTTTGACAGGATTTCTAATTCAAAATTATTTGGAATGTGCAAAAGTTTCCAGCATTTTAAAGCTAAAGAAACAGTTTTCCACCAGATACATTTTTGATTTTTCCAAAAAAAAAAAACACAGTATGCACTAAAAACTTAGGCACTTGTTCACATATAAATATAAAACCATTTTGATCACAATTCTGTATCAAGTTATAAATATATTATTTCAAATTTTTCAACAACACAAATATAAAAATAAATACTTTTCTTTGATCTTAACAATTTAATTTCTAACAAGTCTCAAATATTTCTTCTTGCATGTGCCGCATCCCTTCAGGATCATGGCTCTCCTCAGTTTCCTGTCCTTCGGAGCTCTTAATAAAGTTTGCCTTTTTACTATCTTTTCTAAACCCTTTTCTACTATCTATTTACACAAGCTCATTAGACAAGTTATGCAGAGTTTTCTCCTGTCTCTCTTATCTTCAATATATATCTTATGAGTATCAAATATTCTAAGCCCTCTTCCCTCATTATGTGCCCTACAAATTTCAAATGTCTCTTCCTGATGTTAAGTATAATTGTCTGTTTTGTTTCCATTTTCCCTAAAACTTTGTCATTGCTCACATGTTCAGTCCATGGTATTCTCAGTATCCTTCTGCAGAACCACATTTCTGTTTCTTCAAGTCTTCACTTCATCTGTGATTGTCCAGCATTCACTGGCATCAAGGATGACCAATATTACATAACAGTTAAATAGATCTTCTTTGTTTCTAATAAAATTTTCATGTTTCTTAATACTCTGCTTAGCATTTGGAACACATCTTTCACTATCCTAATGCACCTTTCAACTTTCTGTCCTTTGTTAAAAGACTTCCCAAATATTTAAATTATTGTACTCATTTGGTTTTGGCATCTCCAATTTGTAATTTGCATTTTCATCTCATCCTTTTGCTAACAACCATGCATTCCGTCTTCTTGCAACTGATATTTAGTCCTTTCTTCTCACTTTCTTTCATTACCTTCTGTAGGAGTTCTTGCCATTTTCTTTCTGTGTCTCCTATCATCTGTGTATCTTATGTTATTAAGATTGTGGCTACTAATAATGAATTCTGGTAGGACTTCTAATTCTCTCCAAATTGCTTCATCCACTGAGGACAGTTGGCAGCCTATAACAAACATCTCCATTTAACTTTTTGGAGATGTTATTGTTGCAGTAAAGAAAAGACTGTCAACTGATAGTAGCAACTGCAATAGACTTCTTGTTTCTCGGCCGCAACACTTGTAGCCAAATTGCAGTTCACACGATAGTCCGACATAACAGTCCAACACACCGTAGAAACAACAAAATGGGGTCACAAATCCAACCTTCACTTCTCACCAACAACAACGCCTGTTCGTTTCACAGCTCAAAAAAATCATCTCCTTTTATAAGTGAAAAACAACGACTTCTGTTCACCGAGAGAATTTTCTGATTGGTCATGCCATTCAGGGGAGGGAAGAACCTTAGCATAGCTTCTAGTCATTGATGTAAATTTTTGCTGACTACTTTTTGGTAATTTTTCTTTGGCAGATTGCACATAAAACACAAACATTTTTGGGGTAACTGATTATCTCTTTCACTACAGTTATTAAATTTTATATTAGATTTTATTCATTATTATATACTAAAAGTTGCATAAGGATTACACATGGTGGTGGGAATAAAGAAAACATTATGAATGCAATAATACTACCTCAATGCTAAAGTCAGCCCGGGCTGCCAGCAGCCACTCCCAACATGCAACAGCCACTTCCATTGTCCTTTCTGTGAAATTGCGTACAGGAATCCAGCAGAGTGCATGAAGCAGTTGTCGTTTGAGGTCTGCAAAAACAAAAAGAAATAAGAATCAAGAGTCTTGATTATTGCATACTTAAAAACACAACACAGAAATTACTTTTCAACTGTAAATCTGCTCAAACAACAGACTCAGCCAGTTTGCTTCTATTGAGACAATGCTTGAAAAGTTTGTAACAATGACAAATTTCACATTTATTTTCATTTTATTTAATAAACTCAAAATGAAAAAAAAAAAAAAAAAAAACAGTTTCAGGAAATAAAACCACAAGGTTGTCAATGGTAAAAGATCAAGAAAAGTGAACTGTCATTAGATTTAATAGAAACAGCCAAATCATTTGAGGTGGTGCCAAAAACTTTGTGGACCAATCCCGCAAGACAGTATTCTGATGCACTGAAATACTAATTGTGGAAAGGGAATCAGACTGAGAACTTTTCAACAGCCCCTGCCCCAATTTTTTTCTAAAACTTTAAGATTGGTTGTTATTATTATTCAATAATTCTTTATGGCAAATACTGAGTTTTATTTAAAGTTCTAAGATGAGGTGTTGCCATTATTTCATGGCTGATGAAAATTGATTTGTTGTTTTCAGCACAATGTTTTGGTTAGCCCATTCTCCAACCTTCTTCAGATGTACATGGCATTCAATAAACATTCTCTGAATGGTACATATGCCAAGAGGAATGAAAAAGCAAAAATGCTACATTTAAAACAAAATATAAAAAGATGTTCCATTATTTACATGCAAACTATTGTCTTCATCTTTGTTGTTTTTATCACATTTTGGCAATTGCGCCCTCTAGCTTTTCTTTAAAGTCATTTCACCCCAAGCAAGACACTAAGATGCAAGAGGCTACTGAGTGTGAAAGAGAATTAAAAAACTTTAGTGAGGGAAAAGGACAATAAAAGAATAGGTTTCAGAAAGACAGAAGATGGCGATAATGCCACTAAGATGCAGGGTGTTACTGGGAGTAAAAGAGAATAAAATCTTTAGTGATGAGAAAGGACAATAAAAGAACAGGATTCAAGAACACAGACGATGTCAATTGATGTTGCATTTCAACTTTTAAAGATTCTAGGTGGCAGGGAAGTAAGAAACTGGAAGAGAGATTGCCACAGGTGAAAAACAAAAAAAAAAACTAATAGAATATCACTTACAGTTACATGCAACAGTAAAACTGATGAGACCTAGTTACCAATCTAGTATTATCCTTAAAATCATGTGGCCGAGTCATTTGTTTGTCTAATGGCATATCAATTCCTCATGGGTCATTTAATGCCAAAATTTAGTTTTCTTGGGAGCTTTGAAATAAGAAAAATATGATATATGTTATTCTGCTTTCACAATTGAATACATGGTAGATGATACTCAGCTTTTGTGCATCTACATGTTTATGTGAACATAATTACTAGAGGCAGTGATATGTGTGTTTTATGTTGTTTTGGAATACAGTTTGATTTCTTTAAGAAATTGTAGGATATTATAAAGATTAATGTCATGAAAGAGTTCTTTTATGTTGGTTGTTTGGTAGTATTTAAAAAGGATTTAGCTGAAATCATCACAATTTGTTAAGTATGTGTTTTATTGTGTATAGTTCTTGGCATGCTGTACAGATTAGAGGTGGCTCTTGTTTTAGAATATAAGAATATGTTATCATGGATGTCCTATATGAAATCTAGACATTATTACTTAATCTTTCCTTGTTTTTAGTGTTTAATGCCATTCTTCTATGGTACGTTTGATGTTTGTACAATTTATTCTTTCAGTAGTCAGTCTATAGTTTCTGCCATTCTTCTTTGATAACTTTGTTAATGGTTGATCCAAATTCTGTGTAGGGGATCTTGGTATTAGAATAAATCTGTGGGGGGGAGGGTGATGTTTTTTTGGTTGCCAAATCGGCCATATCATTGTCCTTGATGCTGATATGGCTAGTTTTTTTTTCTTTTTTTATCTCATGACCCATAGGGGCACCATGTGTACTGCAGCCACAGTACTGGTGCTTCTTGCGCAAGATAGCTTGACGGAGAACAAACCCTCTCCAGGCCAGTTTTGAATTCAGATTTTTCCTTCTCCTAGATTGGTTGCCACCCAAGGCTATAAAACCCAGTCTGTCCTGCTATTTCACCCATAGCTGGGAGGAGAAGAAAAGGATCCATACCTTTCCCACGTAAGTGAATGTAATGAATTTGAATAGAATTTGAACTTGGCTCTCTGATTCCTCAATTCGAGCTACTATCTATTATTCTGCCATGCCTCCTAGGTATCCAGCAGGAAATGATATCATTATATATTGAAAAATATTCTATTCTATTTAGAAGTTTTATAATTAATGGGTTTTATCCTTTGTCAGTATTGGCATGGAGTCTCAATATATGATAATCTTTGTTTATTTGTGATTATAATATCAAGAGCCAAATCTATGGCCACCAATTCTGTGATGAATATACAGCAAATTGTTCAGAAGTTGCTTCATTACTTTTGTTTTGTTGTGTATGGCTGCACATCCCACTTAGATTTGATCTTTTGATCCATCGATGTAGATAGGAAAATAGTTTGGATAACCGTCAATTATAGCTTTTATTTTTTCACGGAAGATGATGGGATTGGTTATGAAAAAAAGGGGGCATTTTTTTCAGGCTTAGCAGTGTTTTCGGCTGCTTTATCAAGCAGGGTGGTGCCTTGGAGATGATAGATTCAGAAATTGTTGCTGGGTTTATTTTTGATTTGTTGAGAAGTTTGGTTATTCATAGGCTATATGGTTTAATGCATTCTTCCTTTCTATTAAACAGAGATGCGTATTGGGGACAGAGCGTGATGTGCAATTATTTGGGAAGGTGTTTTATAGAAGAGAAGGTGTTTTATAGAATTTATGACTATTTTTGCTAGTTATCTTCCAGACCATATCCCATACTTTTTGGGGTTTCATGTTTGTATCAATTTGGAATATGAAATCTTTCAATGATTTATGATTTGAGTTTTTAATTATTTTGCAGGCTTTAGTCTTGCCTTTTTTTTTTGTATGCTCTTAAGTTTTCCATAGTTGGGTTATTCTTTAATTTTCTTAAATTTGCTGTGTATTCTGATTGCTTTTTTGCAATCTATTTTTTGCTGTTTTTTGTTGACGGAAAGTATTTTAGAATGTTTTCTTGTGATATGTTAAGGAGGGTATTTGTAAAATGTGCTATTTGTTCTTCATTATTAAAATTTGTCTCTGGAGTCAGTGTGGATTTTCAAGCTTTTTCGAGTTCTTGCCAGTTGGTTTTGTGGAGGTTCCAACAGGGTTCTTTCCTACTGAGTTTCTGGTTTTCATTTTTTAGTATGATGGGGAAATGGTCACTCACATGTGTCATTGTAGATTAATCAATTGTAGTCTATATATATATATATATATATATATATATGGTGGGCTCTCAGATCATTAAATCAATGACTAAATATGTTCCTGTTGCTGGATGTAGGTATGTGCTTATTTAGTCACTAATGAGGCACAGTTGTTTTGGTCCAATAGTCTTTTGACTATTCTGCCTTTTCTGTTTAGTTTTTCTGCTGCCTCAAAGAATATTATGGCTATTGAAATCCCCCATTAGGGTTTTGGTAATTCTTTTATTAAATTATCAAATTCTGTCTCATTAAGTTTTATTGTTAGGCGGTCTCTAGAGTGAACAGAAGGCTATTGTTTTGCATAAGGTGGTGGTTGTTGTTACTGCAATGGCCTGCATTTTTGATTTCAGTTTGTATTCACAATGTGGGATATTGTCGTTGATGATTATTGATGCACCACCTGACACTATGTTATTGTTTGTTTATATAGTTGTTAGTTGTGCAGTATTTAACGTAAAATGTATCTATTTCTTTCAGATGGGTTTCCTGTAGGCATATTATTGCTGGATTATAGGTCATAGTCAGTAGTGTTAATTCATTAAAATTAACTTTAGCACCTCTTATATTCCACTGCATTATTGTTTGTCATGATTTTTGGTTTGTTTAGGGATTTAGGTTGATGGTCCTAAATTTGTTTTTAATCTGTGGTTTAGGATTTTATGTTTTGCCATTTTTAGCTTTGTTTTTGTTGGCAAAAGGGTAAAGATTTTCCTCTATTTGTATTTTGTCTAATGAATCAAATTGGTTTTCTCTCTTTCTCTCGAGATCCTGGGTGATAGGTATTCTGTTGAGTGGAATGGGGGTGGATTGGCGATCTTTGTGATTTGTTTAGTAGCATTAGTCTTTACGGAGGATTTTTTGCTATCTTTAGAAATGATTCTGACAAATAATTGTGTGAAACCTTCTGGTGGTCACAGCGACAACATGTGACAATGCGCTGTTGGCCTGTGGTCAACTCTCAGTTGCGGCGCGAAGCTGTAAGGTTTCTTCCACCAGCATTTTAGGGTTGACTCCTTGTCGCTGCCACCAGCCTGTGTCCCGGTCGGTCTGGTCATTCCCGGTTCGATGCCAACTTGTCGTTCCCAGCTCACTTCCAACGCCTGGTTACCAAAGTAACTACTTTGATCTCAAGTCTAACCTACCCACATTGTGACTTTGATCTTAGGTAAACGAAATCAATCAGGCATCAGGCCATAGTGCAAGCTGAATCTGGGATGGAGGTGATATCGCACAAGCGTAAGTAAAAGAAACAATAAAACAAAACCCAAGAGCTTCATGTATGTTGAGAAATAACAAATTATCTTTATCCGTCTGTTATATACAGGAGTGTGTTTTTCTCCCAGCCCATTTTATTGTTTTTTGACACTTTTGCGTTTCTTAAGCAAGTTTTGGTATATTAAGCCATTCGTCAATATAACTTGCTTTTGGTAGGAAGGCAAAGTCGAAGGACGTGGAATCTCTCAGTCAGCTTCTGTGAGGCAACACTCTGGTTCCCGCTACTTGAATGGTCTCTGACTGTCCGGAACTGAACTGCTAAACTGCCGGTTCATTTATATGGGTACCGACCAAAACCCAGTGTGGGGGCATGATGTGGCTTGGGTTCCTCGGTAAATCTCAATTCCCAACAAGAAATCTCTTTGTTCTTAGGCCAGGAAAATTAATTACTTCCCATTTTTGGAAGATTAATCACTTTCCATTTTGGGGGGGTTCTCCCTCGTCCATGAGGGGAGGTCGGAGGAGAGTTATCCTCCTAGACTCTTCCTCTCTCACATTGATATCTCAATACCAATCCCCTCAGTGGGTGTTAACAACTTCTCCGCCTTTCTCATTCATTCACCTCCGCCTATCACCCATGCTACCACTTGACCACTGATCTCTCGGCAGCGTGAGTGTGGCTAAACTTGCCTTCTTAAAATTATTACCCAGAATTTTTGTTTACAAAATTCTTTTTCTTTTTTCCATCGGCCAAAACCTCTGCACTTCCATTCATCACTGTCAAGAGCCTGCCATCTGGTTTCTCCGTGAAATCAACTTTTAACTGGGGGTCCGTGTTTACTTGAGAGATTAAATTCTTTATTTTCTCATGCCTTAAAATTCTCTTATCACCAGATGCCTTTTTGACGATGCAGTATCCGACGTTGACACCTTGATAAAGTAACAATAATACTTCTCTCCACAATTTTCTTTCTCATGCAAAAATTCTTACACACACCACATGGCCTCTCTTCGCTGGACCCAAGAATCAAAAATAAATGATATCTTGGAAAGATAATTAATATTGATTCTCTCTGCCTGTATCGCGGTTGTCTCAAGCCAAAATTTTTTTGTGACTGCCATGTGTCGGCTGGCTTTGTTTTTCTTTCTGAATTCTGTTTCACTTGGCGCGACATTCCCTTACCATGACATTAATCAATTTGACAGAATCCCACATCTCGCTTTTGGTTACGGATTTTCTGTCTTTTGCGAAAAGTATCCTTTTTTTCTTTGTAAATAAAATAAAATCTTTTTAACGTCGCTCAGTCTATCTTTCGATATAGCTCTTTCTCGCATTAAGTATTTCCTGTTTTTAATTTCTATGGTTAATTAGTTAGCCAATCACCATAGCTAAATAGTGTCACAATTGTTCTTTTACATTAATTTCACTTTTATTGTTCAAATTAGATTTAATTTCTTGTATATATTTGGGCCAATCATTTAGACTCAGTTGCATGAATTGTTTTATCAGAGTTTTAGATTTACCATTATTAGGATTAGTGTTTTGGTGATCTGTGAGTAGGTTATGTTGTTTCGATAATCTCCTACAGTTTCACATGCTTTCTAATAGAAGATGTTTTCTAGTGGGATTTATCATCATAATCCTTTTTTCCTTCTTCCATATCTCACATGATCTCGCATGTGCTAGGGTGGTTTTTGCTGCAGTTAGTGCATTTGTACACATTCTCACACATTTGTCACACACGGTTTTTCCATGACATGCATCCTTATGATGACCAAACTTTTGACAGTTATAACATCAGAGGGGGTTTGGGATATAGTGTTCAACCTCCTCGATGTTATAGCCTAGTTGACTTTTTTTTAAATTGTAGGCATATTGAATGTAAACACATAAATGTCTGTCTGTATTCGTTCTATCCCCTTTTTTAATGCTGACTCTTCTTAAATCAATGATTATTTGTTTTTTTTTTTAATTCAGTTTTTATTTCTTCAATAGAGCTGTGGGACAACTCTCTGATTCTTATCACCCCCCCCCACACACACACTCCACAAAGTATTCCATGTTTTATGGGTATAAACCTTGATCATTCTGTTATGGAATTTTTCATCTTCAGAAACGTGTCAGTCTAATTCTGCCTCAACAAATATTGCTCCATTTTTGAAGATTATACATTGTTTGGTATTACTTGGAAGAGATTACTTTTTGTTTTAAAAAAATGGAGAGAGTTTACATGAGTGAAATCTCTCTTCCTCTGATTCCAAGATAATGAATCTTGGGAATGATACTCACTCCTCATCGGATTCTATTTCTGCTCGATGACGCGAGCGCCACTCACTCCTCATCGGATTCTATTTCTGTTCGATGACGCGAGCGCCACTTGCTCCTCATCGGATTCTATTTCTGTTCAATGATGCAAGCGGCACTCATTTCTCATCTGCTTCTTTTTCAGTGTGCAGTCGCTCCGGAGTTTTTTGGAATTAACCATATAAGTATTATTTACATTTCATTCACTGGATTCCTCACCTGCCACACAGCCCCACACAGAGATCTGCCAAGGGGCAAACCCATTCACCTTAACCTATCTGGGCTACCCAGTCAGTATACTCACTCAAGTTTTGGTACCAAAGATTACTATTAACCTGGGGACATTAAGTTATTATCGTTCCTTCTTTGGCATGATTGACCCTACAAGCCATCACCTTCTGATTCAAGAGAAACCAAATAAGGGCGTGACATGACCAGCCGATTGATCAGATTGGGCCAATCGTCTAGCCCAGGTAAGGGCCAAAGTGGTAGGTTGAAATCACAAATATCTAAACCCGACTCTTGATGTGTTCAACCACTAGGATTTCATCCCCAGACATTATGGATCACCACCTATGGCAGGTAGCCACATTGAGAGCTTTTACTCCTCTGCAGTCAGCGTATTATGAAGTCCCAATTGACTGGGAAGAAGTTCATGTGGTCAAGGTATGAAAGAGGAGACCTCATTAGAGAAAATTGCCATGAAAATATTTACAAAAAAGACAGAGGGAAGCCACGTCATGGGGGTGAAAAATTGACTGAAGATTGAGCAAATTCCAGACCCTTCTTTGGATTTTATTGAATATATATTACAAGAGCACTGGGCCATATACATTGAACAAACAAATGGTCTGGTGAGAAAAATTTCTGGCACAACAGTGAGCCCACTAAAAACTGATTCAATATAATCTGTCCACTTTCAGTGGAAAATGAGAGACAGAAGAAGGTGAAATGAGTTGCTCTCATGGAGGTTAGCATCAGCCATATGCTGATGGAAGGCAAAAAGGGTTCCTTATAATTGCTGAAAGTAATTATGCTAAAGTTGAAACAGTAGAAATGACAATAAAATCAATGGTGAAACATTGATGTAGGTTAAAGAATGCCAAGAAGCCCATATAAACATGTAAAAGAATAAAATAATAATCTAATTAGATTTCAAGTTATTTTACTTATTTTGGGTTTATTTATTTATTCACGTTTCATTTGGTTTGTATAATAAAACCTGACATTCCCAAAACAAGTTATCATTTATATCTAAATAAATAAACGGCATATTCTGTCTGTCTATCTGTCCGTGTGTCTGAACCCCCACCCCTCCAACTCGGGCTACACTTTTTCTACATAGACATATTATACTTTTTAGGAAACAGGATAACAAGATTAAAAATCTGTCCTTCATGTTGCATTTGAACATCAAACATTGGAATTTGTATCTGAGTGAGGAGGGAACAGTTAAAAATTCAAATTTTAAAATAACTGAAAAAAAAAAAAAAAAAAAAAAAAAATTAGTGATTTTAAAATTTTTTGTTTATACTGAGTTTAAAGTAACACAAAAACTTTGTGAATTTAAAAACGTTTTGCTTTAAATTCAGTTTAAAATATTTCCAAAATTTTGTGAATTAAGGAAATCAATTTTATTTCTTTAAAATGCCAAGGAATCAGAGTTAAAGTGAAAGGTTTAGAGACATAAGGTTTTAAAATTCTTCAGGATTAGTGATTTCAAGAACTCAACTCAATTGAAAGTTCCACAGAGCTTGTAATTTGAAAAACTTAATTTTTGGTCTGAATTGGAATTTCAGCTGAAATCGGTCTTATGGTCAGAATTGGATGGAATAGCTCAAATCTGAGTTAAACTGAGGTTTTGATGTTCCATGGAGTGAGCTGAGGAATTTAAAGTTATTTCTTCAAAATTATCATTGCTGTTTTCTAAACTGAACCAGAGGTCCCTTTAGTTTAGTGCTGAAGTAATGACAGCCAGACAATTTGTGAGAACATGTCAATGCATAAAAAAATTGGGTGTTGGGATTAAAAAGAAAAAGGTCACTGACCTCTCATGGTGATTAAAAGTGCACAAACTTTAAACATTCCAGATTTAATGCGTTCAGTATCTGCAATAAAAGAAAAAAAAAAAAACAACAAAATAAAGAAATATAAATTGAATGGCAAGATGATAATTAACTAATATATAATTTACTTATCCTGTATTTCACTTTAAAAAAAAAAAAAAAGGAAAGAAAATACACCTGTAAAAGTGAGGAAAAAAAAAAAGCAGAAAATGATTTTCAACTTACCCTGGAAGACTCACATGATTGACATTTTTGTATAAGTATAGTAAAAATCTTAGCAAGATAATGTCTCTTTTCACAAAAGTCTACTTGAGCTTCATACCTGTAACGTCTCTAACCGAGTTCACAAAATTTATTCACTAATTATTACTTTTTCTTACCTTCCAATAGGAGTAGATAGAGTTGCCTATCATCCGGTTTACACTCCTCCCCAATCTTTCGAACATGAGAAGATGTTTATATCTCGTTTCTGGTTTTGGATTAGGTTTTCAGTTCCTTCTCTACTTCCACACTACACTTCTAACGTCTGACAGAGCTCAAAAATGTCATTCACTAATTCTTTTCTTCTTCTCCCCCAATAAATGTAGATAGGTTAACACTCCTCCCCAGTCTTCAGAACAGGAGTGGAGGTTTATCTCATATTTCCTGTTTAGGATTGGGTTTTTGGTTAATGACTGATTGAGCTCTGAAATTTTATTGAATAATTATTTTTTCTTCCCTCCTAATAGCAGTAGATAGAGTCACCTATCATCCGGTTCACACTCCTCCCCAGTCTTTTGAACAGGATTAGAGGTTTATTTCTTGTTCTCTGTTTAGGATAGAGTTTCTGGTTCCTTCTAAAATCTAATGCCACTCTGTACTTTTACTGTCTCCAATGTGGACATATATTTACTAATTCAATCTTGACCTCTTCAAGCCTAGAGTTAGCCATTATCTTTCCGGTGTAGCCTCCAAGAACTTCATGTCTTGCCCTTTCTTACCTGCTCAATCAACACTACACAGTAAGCCACTACCTCAAATGACTCTCAGGCCTTGTATTGAGTGAACATTAGTATAAAAACAAAATTTTAAATTGTAAAAAGAGGCATTATCATTCCAAGAGTTTGTACTATGTCTGAACTCATTATTGCTACCACAACATTTGAGCTTGTCCAATCTTCTAGGGGACAAACCATAAGATGAATTTTCTTTTTTTTTTTCCTAAAAAAAATGGTTCCAAAAAGAAAATAAATACAGTAAGTCCCAGTGTTATGACAGTCCTGACCTACAATGATTCATAGTCATGATGCAATTAATCTTGTCTCGACTCATGCCATTTGTCTCGTACATATGCAATACATTATATGGATTATATTTATGCCCTCCATGCATTTTTGTAGTCTTATGTTAACGTATGTCATAGAAATGCATTGTTATGCATTAGATTATTCAGTCAGTTATGTGCCATGCGTGATACATGCTTAGGCAATCATGTATCTTTCGACACATGACTTGCAAGGCACATTTTTTTCCCCGCAGTAGGTTGCCATTTCATTCTGTGGTAGACCAATTGCCATCCAAGGCTATAGAACCTAGTCTGCCCTGCTATTTACTCATAGCTGGGGGGAGAAAAAGAAGACTCATACCTTTCTCAAGGGTATTAGCACATAAGTGAATGTAATGGATCTGACTTGAATTTGAACTCGGCTCTCCGTTTCTTCAATCCAAGCCGCTATCCATTACTCCACCATGCCTCCTAGATTATTACTTTACTATATTGCATTAGCATTGGTCAGAAATGTAAGTGCTTATTTAAAAAAAAGAAAAAAGAAAAAAGATTGCTGATACACTCTGACTTACAAAGAAAATTACATTATGATGCATCATAGGAATGAAACTGTTTAAGTCGCAGATACCCTGTATACCAATTCCAAGAAACATTCATTCTAAACAATTTTAGAAATTACAGGTAAATTTTCAAGCTTTTCCATTTTATTTAAATTAAAATCAATACTATTTCCTAATGAACACCAAGATAAAACAAAAAAACAACAAAAATATCAGGTAAAATAATAAAAAAAAAAACAAGCTAACAAAGTAAATAAATATCTTTTTTTGCAGGTATAAATAACAGAAATGTCCATAATTCAAATGAAAAATTTACTGCCACACTTACTTTGTTTATCACAGTCTTTATCAAGAGTATCACACAATTTTTTGATGAGTTCTTCATCACTGTCACACACCTCTCGCATACCAGCTACCTGTAAAACAGAAACAGTTCTTTGACAAAACCAGAACATAATATTCGATACCAATTCCAAAGATAAGCAGAATTATTTAGTTTTTATTTATTATTCTTTACATCCGAGATAATAAACTCTTGAAATATTAAAATTAAACTCTGAAAAACAAAAAACAAAAAAAAACGGACGTTTAAGTAAGCAATGATTGACGAAAATGAAATATGGCTGATTTTGTTAGGCATTCAAGATGGAACTCATCACAGAAGATACTGGGAAAATGGTTGGGTTCCCTGTACTGGCCCAGGTAAGTACCTCACTCCTCCTGCTATCCTCTACTTTTATGAGAACCAGATCAGGCCTAAAGTGGAGTCTTCGCGTCCTTTTGGGTGACAAATTATTTTCCACCCTACAACCCCTTTCTCACAGATGAAATGTCATAAACCTTTCACTGCTCTATTGCTATACCCCTGTACTGCTTTTGGACTCTATCAATTTTCTTTTTTAAAAAGCTATATCAGCTACTAAGTTAAAAACCTCACACAAGAAAATTTGGAGAAAGTATTTTTTTTACCCAGAAATCTCACCTTCTTGTTTGTTTCTGATGAGTCAATTCAAAGGCCAATGAAAAGATTTTACTACATCTTATTTTATTTTTATCATTATTTTTAAGCAGGACTCATGATCAACTGGCCCTGTCAAATATATTGAATTTCAGAAATACAATCTATTTCCAACAACCTGTGTACCTCTTTTATTAGTTGGGAGATGTTGTTTTCTCTTCTTAATTCTTAACCTTAAATTATTCATCTACAACCACAATGTTACACTCTGACATCTAACAGCTGAATGAGTGAAAAACTGGTTTCTTTTCATTCTTTATCCTTAACTTCAAATTGCCCTACTTGACTGTAAACCCCATATGTCACAGACTAACATGAGGAAAGTGGTCTTTATAAATTAACTTTTTTAAAAAAAAGTATTTCACATTATATTCAGCCAAATGTGGCCAATAATTTTACTTAAGCCAAATTATCACTTTAGTAAAAGCATAAAAGATATTTGTACTTACCTGACCACTAAAGCGACTGCGCAAACTAAGAGCCGCCATAAAATTAGAACTGTCCGTGGTCACACAGTTCGGCCGTCTATCTAACGTGGCAATCTGAAAGCAGGAGATTTCTTGAATAATAAAATATATATCAATGGCAGCAGCACAAAAAATTTTCCAAATATTTCAAATCTTTCATGAATGATGGCTTAAGGAGCAAGCAAAATTATCATACTTCATCTAAGAAATCCAGACAGCTTAAGAACTTTTTTTTTCCCCCCCAAATAAATGACCATTTCTTGAAGATCAGAATGTTCATTTCTTGAATTGCAACTCTGGTGACCATAGTGGGTGGGGGACAAATATTTCATTTACTTACTCCCAAGGGTGCTGCTGTTTTGTTGTAACCAGCATAGTTGAGTACACTCTCTGTGGCCAGGGCAAGTCCACTGTGATAGAACAAACCTTGTGAGGAATGTTCCATTTTGAGCAAGTACTCAATAATGTGTGACCGGGTTGCATTTGGGGCCCACTTCATTGCTTCCTGAATGATGCCTGTGCTGCGTGCTGCAAAATCTTTTACTGTATTCTGGAAAAAAAAAAAAAAAATGATAATTCCAAAAACATGAACAAGCCAATCAGATCAGATAGTTCAATTAAAATTAATTCAATCAAATTAATTAATATAAGATTAATCAATAATAACCCAAGTTCAAACTTTCCTGCAAACCTTATTTGGTAATATTTTAAGATGATTTTAGAAATTCATGCAAACTGCTGATCTAAAATATGGCATGAAACAATTTTTTGTGCAGTTTGACAAATTATTTTACTTCAGTATTCTTTTCCTTTTACTTTTAATGCAATATTTGGGCTGATTGCACTGAGTGTTTTAGCAAATTGAATCAATGTTCATCACAGCTCTTTCATATTAGAAATACAGTTGAGAAACTTAATGGGAACATGCTGATTACAAAATGTACAGCAGAAATATAGTTTTGTTTGATGATGAAGATGGATCCTTTCCAGAGACCATAAATATTTTATTGGTTTATTATATTTATTGCAGGGTATATATAATTTTCTGTTTCAATTAAAATAAGTATTATCATTCTTCTTGTGTCATGTGTCCTTTCAGAATGTGGGAAATTATGGCTTTTCACAACATCCTATCCTTTGCAGCTCTAAGCAATCTTTGCCCACTTACTATACCTCACAGTCTCTGTTCTTCAATTCATTTACACAAACTCATTAGGTAGATTACTGAATGTTTTGCTGTCCCTTCAGAATATTGGTAATTATGGCTCTTCACAACTTCCTATCCTTTGCAGCTCTGAGCAATGTTTGACCTTTTACTATCCCTCCCAGTCTCAGTTCTGTCATAGGTTACTCCTCATTATAAATTCAGATCAATTTTAACCTTTTATATTTGGTAAGCATTTTTTTTTTTTTTTTTTTTTAAATGACTGGCATTTTTATTACAGCTATTTTACATAAAACTGATATGTAATACTTTTAAAAGTCATTGTTATTTTTCAGTGTCACTACTGAAGAGACAAGATGGTGTAACAGAGAAAATGGAAACATTAAAGTTAAAATTCCAACTGTTCAATTCACACTAATGCTAATTGTATTCAGTTTTATTGCAAGATATCATGAGAAAGGTCTCAATACTGGCATATCATGTTAGTCAAGATAGAAAACATGAAGAGATACTTTTCTTCTGTGGGTATTGTGTCAGTCTGTCACAAGTCATTTAGCAAGTACATGAGCATTGCAAAGAAAATGTCTTTGTCCTCTGATATGCCAGAAAGGACAAAGTCCAACATGTCACCTTAACAACATCTGTTTTTTTACAAGAATCACTGAATCAACTAAGACGCCATTAGACAGAATCTCTTACAAAGAAAAGAATACATAAATGGCAGGGCAATATGGATGTGTGCACATAGCATTAAGGGACGTGAAGAACCAACTGTCATCACTTACCTCTCGATCAACCATTGTGTCTCTCACTCGCAGCACGTAAGGTGTGTTTGGAATTTGAAAATCAGGAGCTTTAGCATGAGGATCCTGCCACAAGAAATCAACCATGTCAGAATAAAGCAAAATTGAAGACAAAAAATGCAAAGCAAAAAAAAACAAAAAAAAAATTGATAAAATATATACACACACACACAAAGTTCACCAAAAAATGTATACACACTTCAGGAAAAGATAAACTTGTATAGATAATGTAATACTAAATTTATTCAAGATTCCCCTTGTATTTATATTCTTAACCATCCTATTCAGAACTGTAAGAGACAGATTTCTTCTTGAGTTAAAGCAGGCATTGATGTTTTTGTACTTTCTTGCAGATACCAAATGAAGTCACAATCTTCTTCGTGCTTCACACTGGCCTGTTCAGCTGCTGTCGTTCACTTTTTCTGGATGTACCAATGTGATAATTCCAATTGCAAGATTTGTGTCTACTCAAAATAATTGTAAATGTGTCCTTGAAGAAGTTGATAGAATGAGGTATTGTATAGCCTCTAACAAGTTTGGCTTTTGTGACTATTGGCAGTCCTGTAATAATGTCTTAAATAAGAGTAAGTCTTTTATTCCTCTTCTCTTCACTCAATTTGAGGTGTTAACATCTTCTGATGATAAAGCAGAATATTTTGCTTGTAAATTCTCTTCCACTTCTACTCTAGACTCATCTGGAGCATCTTTGTCTAACTTTTCACTTAAAGCTGAGTCTCTATTTAATGATATGCATATAACTCCATCCATCCATTTCTGCTATCATCTTTAAACTAGATCCTCACAAATCATGTGAACATGATGGTATCCCTGCAATAGTACTTAAGAAATGTTCTCCTGAACTGGCCCCTGTTCTCTCTAAACTCTACAATAAATGCTTGCTGCTTCTTGTTTTCCTGCTTGTTGAAAATCCTCTTCTGTTGTTCCAGCCTTCAAGAATATAAGTAAACTGTCTGATCCTTCTAAATATCAGCCTATTAGCCTTTTACCAGTTTCTACCAAAATACTAGAGGCTCTAATCAACATTGAATTGGTAAAGCATCTCATCTTGCAGGATCTTCTTTCAGATAAGCAATGTGGTTTTCACTTCTATAGGTCAACTGCTTGATATTGATTATTGATGAAGGAGTCTATCAAGCTTTAACTAAGAATGGTCAAGCTCAGGCTGTGGCTTTGGGTATCTTAAAGGCATCAAATCAAAAAAATGAAAGTTGTCATGAATGGCCACTCTTCTAGATCTTTTTGCATTAATGTAGGTGTTTCCCAGGTCTCTTTCCTTGGACTTATGTTGTTCCTAATTTTCATAAATAACCTTCCTGATGGCATCAGTTCTCAACTCAGTATTTATGCTGGTGACAATTATTTACTGCTGTATTAGTAAATCTGATCACTTCGATAAGGTCAAATTGGCATCTTAAAAAAAAAAAAAATGACCTATAATCTGTTGTTAATTGGAACAAAGAGTGGATTGTTAATTTTAATGCCTCCAAAATGAAACTGCTCTCTTTTAATCATCTGAGAGAACCCTTTTTTTTATCTTCTGTCAGCATGGCCGATGCAAACCTGCAGGTAAGTGAATCATTACACCTTCTCAGACCAATGTTTTCTGCTGACATGAAGTAGAAAGAATATAATGAATCAATTGTTAAGTATGCAGCTAGGAAAGTCAGTTCACTGTGTCATGCTAGACAATTTTTCTCGCTAGAATCTATCTTACATATTTATAAGTCTACCATTCAATCCTTGCTTTGAATACTGCTCCTATACTGCTACTGGCATCTCAGCTTCAGTCGCTTCCACACTGCCATAACATAGCTTCCTTGTGCCTTTCATGCTAATTGTTCTGATGAATGCTTCTCAATGGTATTGTTGACTTTATGAATTTAAGTGCAGCACTAGATTGGCAGCTAGGTCTCATTATTTTACACTTGAAATGGTGAGAGATGTAACCATAAGTTCCAGGTTAACAATTTCTTCTATCACCCTTCTCACTTATGGAACTCTCTTCTGTCAACTTTGATCTTCAAAAATTCAAATGCAATGTTAATCGTTATCTTCTATCTTCTTAATTCTTCTTCTTTTATTGTTCTCTTTCCTTAATAGTGAATTTTTCTCATATTCTCTGTCACTCAGTAACATCTTCAGTTTTAGTGGCTTTATTGCCTTGCTTAAAAAAATAAATTTGGGAAATTATCCAGACCAAGGACTTTTCAGGACTGTCTTGTGTGTGTGTATGTGTGTGTTTGTTTTTGTATAAGAGAGAGGAAAATAGTTGTATATCACAACATATGTATTTCTCTGTTTGATAAAACCCAAGAGACCAAGATCTTATACCCACTTCTGCAGTCATTTCTGGGGATATTTTAATGAGTTTGTTATGGATGACTTTGCCAGTTAGCATTGCTCAACATGGTAGGTGTTTCATTTTAGGGATCCAAAGGAAACTGGCTAGGCAGAAATGAGGAGAATCAAGTGAATAAGTTGACTTTATTTATAATTGAAAAAAGAAAAAAAATGCAACAAATCTCAGGGTCAGTGGGAAGTTAGAGAAAAAAATTTATTATTCTTGGCAGATATTGAAAGAAAGAAGGAAGAAAATGGCCAAGAGGACAACCTGAATAAAATAACTACATTTAGAACATCAACCAAAACACATAAGGCATTATCATTTCACACATGTTCAAAAGGAGTCCAATAAATTTTTAAATTTTCTGTTGCTGTTGATACTTGTAGTTTAGCACAAAACTTACAACTTCCAATGACTTGGACAAAACTTGTAGGATATCGAGCATGGTCTGAAGCAACACTCCACTCCACAATAAATAAGGAAATCTGAAAAAAAAAAAAGAAAAGAAAAAAAGAATAGCAACAGACTAATCAGGTTGCCATTTCTGACAATAATTGAAAAGCATTAATTAAAAGGTAGAGTTTACATTCAGTGTACTTCACATTCAATAATAATAATAAATATCTTGATACAACAAAAAGCATGGCTCTCAGGGATTTTGAATCTAACTGAATGAAGGTATTAACATGTAAACATTTTCATGAAAAGATACTGCCACAGATTTGCTTTTGAGCTGTCTGACACCAACCAGTCAGTCATGTCCCCTATGGACTGATAAATGTCCATGACTTCCAGAACATTAAGGCCTGATTTCAAGAGTGACATATTTGGGTGGGGGGGATAATTTTATGAAGTTTACAAGATGAGGCAGCCAAGGCGACTTAGAATTCATATCTAGGTACTTTGATACTTGAAGACCATCTGAGCAGATTAGATTAGCCAAGCTGAAAGTATTTCTAACTGGGTCAAGTTTATACACAACTTTTAATCAAAACCTGTCACCATGCACATATGTCTGTGCTGCATGTGTCTAGTATAATATTTTCAGACTGGCTGTCATAATGGGTATATTGGGTTTTGTATATTTGTACCCAGCATCCTTTTGTTGACATGCTGCTCTCTTACACAACAATAAACAAATTACTCAGAAAACAAAATGTTTACTCATTGAAGTAACAATCCTTGCTGATATGAACATGTCAAACTATTAGAGAAAGGCTTAATGAATAAATATATATATATATATATATATATATATAAAGCGCTTGAAACTGAAGCATATCTCTGCACATGAATTGTCATCATAATTGGTGCTTCACAAATTATTAAAAAATCAAGCAAGCATAAATCTCACAACCACCTGGTGAGTAAAGCTTTGATGAAATGCTGAAAATGTCATAAATGGGAACATAAAGTACTATCATCATGATTTTGTCCTGGACAACTTTTGTATTTGATTTAAAGAAATTTCTTAACAATTTCAATCAGCTTTTTAGCAATTCTCAAGCATTTAAGAATTTCACAAAATTTAGCCTAACACTGAAAATCGTTTTATTTGATATCAGCCCTTTTTGAGATTTTTGTCTTTTGCCTGCTTTCATACCCCAAACATATTACCATCAGTTATGACATGTTGTCTTGCTGTCTTTTGAAGTTGCCACTTGAATCTTGGGAGTACTTGTAAAACAAACAAAACATTCCAAAAAAATAATCTAAGGCTAAAACCTGATTTTTCAAAAGCTTAGAATTTCAAATCTTATAATTGTCAGCTTCAGCTTAAGGCATACTAAGGAAAAAAGTTTCTAAATATTACAAGTATAGACAGTATGGACAGTAGGCTGAACACCTAAGATCCAAGTTATATAGGTTAAGGGTCAAGACAAAGAGTTGTTGTGAAGTGGTAAAAAAACAAAAAAAAATTTGTAAATATAGACCAGAAATTTGGGAATTTTAAGGTGAAAAGAAAATACAGAAAGAAAATTGTGATTCTAGTTTAGAAAATCAGAGCATTCTTAAGGTTTCAGCAATTTTGAAGCATAAAATTCAAAACAAACAAAACCATCTTGTTTCAATAAATGCAAATAACCTCTGTAATAGAACAGGAAAAGTAAATAATCTATGTCAGACTTTGGGGAAAATAAATAAAAAAATGTATGGCTGTTTGGAGTATTAGTTGTAACCTGTCTTTTTCGATCACAATCAATGGGACTACTGCAAAACTCCATGCACAAAGCATGACCACTAGACTCATCAGCGTCTGCAGCTTGTCTGATGTTCTCTCGCTCATGTTCATTTTATCCAGTGGCTGAGTTTTGGAAATTTGCATGAGAAACAAATTTATGTATTTTGCACACGAGACATGTATGAGCACGTTTTGTTCCAGGAAGTAAACTGTTTTCCCTTCTGCACTCCTCTCTGATCTCATGATCACATAAGTGACAGGAAGATGGTGGTTTTCTTTGATGGGTGCTTCTTTGTAAAGTTGGATGGGGTTCAGCAATCTTTTTATTTTTGCCCATAGGTAGGTTCTTTCTTGTTCTTGGCAGTATCATTGTCATCATTTCTTCTGGTTCTTCAGGTGAATTTTCTGACTCTGATCTGAAATGCAGCAGTAGCATACCCGAATCGTTCTCAGATGACATAACACTACTGTCATCTTCTGAGGAAATAGACCCATCATGAGGAATGTTGTGGAGTAAATATATGAACTAGTCCATTAGTATAAAGACCTCCAGGTCAGTGATAAAACTGCTCGGTGTCAGTCTTCAGATTAATTAATACTAGTGTCACAGTAGAGTAACCAAAGTATTATGTATTGAGAATCCTTATATGAAGTTCATTATATAAGTAAGAGTGTACTATAATAATAGCCATAGAATAGTGGTGTTATAATAAGGATGAAGATCTTTGATGTGACATGATATTCCATTGACAAGGACTGATCGGATGAGCCCCTCCTCTTTGCAAATATCTCTCCACAGAACATCATGCCATTGTCAATGAGTAGCACAGCAGATGGCCCTCTCTTGCAGAATAGAGACTCCAATTGCTGGATGATGCCGGCAGAGTCTTGACACAGTAATGGCCACCAGATGGAAAATCGACTAGGACCACAGTCCATCAGGGTCAGTTAATGCTGGTCTCTGTAATGGATTATATCAATTCCCACCCTGCTCTAAGTTTTATGCACATCCAGCTTTCCAACTTCCCAATCCGAATGGCTGCTTTTGAAACTTCAAATATAATGTGCATGTCACACTGGGATGCCCACTTCATTCATGGATGATTTGTCCATGAGCAGATTCTTGCTGTTCTACAGACGCAGCGCACACTGGCCCCATTTCTTTTTGAAGTGCACCTAGCCATCTTTGAGTCACCCTGGTGCGTTGATCAACTTGGGTCATGTGCAATCTGATGAGCCCCATGTCAATTGTTAGCCCATATTCCATAGCCAGTTGCTGGGCCAATGTCTTAACATTTTCTGACACAACCTTTGTGCGCACTCTTGTTTATCCAGACAGCATATCAGAAACCCAGTGATGTACACATGCTGAGTCTGTCTTCAGGTGAACCACAGTTGCCTTCGACTGCAACACCAAGTTGACACCACTCAACATTGCGTCAAGCTCCACCAAATTAATGTGTTTGTTTATGTGTACTGAGGATAGTCAACAGGCATGCTCAACCAAAGATCCACCACTTTCTACAATGACATTGGATGCCAGGGAGATTGCATCAACCCATATATGTTGACGTCCATTCATGCACCAATCTCCATGTGCTGGATCTTTCTGCACTATTCTGGTGATGATGTCAGTCAGCAGCCAAACCAAGAGTGGATCCCCATGTTTCATCATTCAAGACAGACATTACAGAGTTTGCTCATTGTTCCACAAATGTGGTTATCAGGGTGCGTTTTGCTCTGCATCACAACCACACCCTGGCAAATGTCCAGTTATTTTCCCACACAAGGAAAAGATCCTCCAATGGATGAATATGTTAGGCATTGGTGGGAGCTCACTCTCACGTCTCCATTGCAATTTACCCTGCAGACCCAGCACATGGATGCCATCCATTAGCTGCTCCGGATTCTTGCAAGTCAGTCCGAATTGTTCCAGGTGTACTCTTACACAGACCACAGGGTACACACTCTCATTGACGAATATGTCTTCAATATACAAAGGTGTGGCCCTTTGGCTGGTTTTATCTTGTGCGACCATGGCATTAATGATTGACTGCATGCTCAGCGGTGCCACATTGAGCCAAAACCCATATGGGTAAGGGCCACAAAGATTTGTCCATATGAGCTTGCAGACAGGCCCAGAGCAGATCCAGTACCGCGTCATCTGACCCTTCTTGTTGCCACTCCCTCAATTTTAGCACACAAACATCCACATGACCTGTGTATGTGTCAACATATTGATTGAGTTCCTGATAATCCATAATGGGGCATACTTGCAATACAGCCATTAGTGGAATTAGGCCCTTGGGGGTCTGAACTCTTCTTCAGGGTACAGAAGTAGCCAACAGTTATGTATCCAGGCTTGCAGTTCGTTAATGTACTTCTCCCTGAACTGCTTACAAAGTGGGATACTCTGGTATCTGATTCTTCAGCATGGGTAGTGTTTTGTCACCAGACCACTTCCACAACCCAAACCTTCCTGTTCAGGTCATATTCTGCATGAAAGTCAGGCTTGTTGATAGTAATGGCTGCGCACAAAAGTCGGTCAAGTTGAGAAAAGCTCACAGTGACACTACTGGTTACACACACACACACACACACACCACCTAATCACTTGATGGTTGTACCTCGGTAGCTTCCCATCTACAACGAGAACCTCAACATCAATAGGCTGCCCGTCACTCACACCAAGTTGAACAAGTCCGACCCCACAGCATCTAAGAGTCTCAGTGGCAACAGAGAGCACATCCACTTCCTTTCTCTTCCAGGAATGACAAAATGATCTGCTAACAAATGACTGTGAGCAACACATGTCCACCAAGACTGCACTCTTGATCCATTTGATGCACACAGTAATCAAAGGTAGCGCCTCATTGTTCAGGGAGCAGAGTGGTACTAAAGTCTCTTCCCCTGGCTTATTTCCCAGACAATTTTGTCACACCTGTAGCAGCATATTCAGGGTTTCTACTTTTGATGTGTGGTCCTACACAGTCCTCTGCAAAGTGATTAGCACTGATGCCATGATATCACATGAACACCTGGTAGGATGTTTTTGTCCCATCCTGTATCGTTTGCACCAGTGCAACTGCCAGACTGTCCTTCATAATTATCCATGCTCTAGTCAACAGCTGGTTAATCGCTAGCAGATCCATTTGGATCAAAGTGCAAAGAAGTCACTTCACCTGTTCTGGCAATCTCCTTATGAATACACATGCCAGTTCATGGTCACTCATTCTGTCAAATAATACCGCAAGTTTTTACAACTCCACCAAGTATATGCTGACTGATTCCCTGATTGGCTAGTATGAAACTTATTTGAGATAGCAGGAAAAAGGATTGATTGAGAAATAAATATCATTATTAATTGAAAACCTCAAGTCTCTGGACTTGAATCATCCCCTAAAAATTCTTAGCTTTCCTTTGAAAGGCTCATCATCCAAATGAAGAATATCTGCTTAGAAGTTAGCAATCAACCATAGTTCAAAATGACATGGCATTTCAATTAGGAAAGGGATAATTCAATACCATGATCCTGACTGAATAATTGAAAGGTTTTATATTTTTAAACAGGCATTTTTCGTCACTATTTCTTTGCTTGTGACCAAGTACATTCAACTTTAAAGATGTTTCAATCAATTCCGTCAAGAGACTTCATCAGATCTAAAATATACAACACTGCTGGATAGGCCAACTCTTAATGAGAAACCAAACCAACATAGAATAAAATTTGTGGTTCTGAATATTCAAGAATTGAAGATAGTATAAATATAGGTACCTCCACGAGATCGCTAAAAAAAGAGCATAGCATGATGAAAAAGACGCCAAACTTGACGAAAACAAAATTTTATCGTCTAAATGTTTATTATTAAGAGGAAAGGTCAAAGTATTTTTGGGGTATTTTTTTACATTTTTTAATCGTTCCTAGCACGTCCGAAATTTTCGTTAAAAATCTAGTTTTTTTTGAGTCAGCAAAATTGACCATTTTTTTCCATTTTAAAAAAAACTGGAAATCTGACTTTGAAATTTTTTTAAATATCAATTATCATTTTTTCAAAATTTATTTTAAGAAAATCAGAAATTATAATGTTTATTTAAAATATTTTGAATCAAACTTAACTTAGCTTTTGTTCCAAAAAGATGTAATTTGAAAATAAAACAAAGCAGGTCATAAACTTTCACGTCTCTTGACATGTGATGAATGATATATTTACGAATTCCATGAGGCTAATTTGTTCTACGGAAGGAGAAAAGTGAAATAATTTACATTTACGTGAACAAATTATTTACCCAGTTATTTTTAACGAAAACTTTCAGCGGTCTTATTTTTTTTTTTTTTTTTTTGTACTTAGCTTTCACCTTTACGTTTATGATGCTTTATGGGAAATATATTGTAAAGAAATTAAAATAAAACTGTTAAGAGTGACATTAAATTTCATATTTCTTAAGAAAGGTATCTAATTAATTTATAGGTACTTTTCTTATGAAATTTTATCAGAATTGTACATAAAATACTATAATTTTATGTACATTTATTACATTCTACTGTTATTTGTATTTGCATTCATTTTATTATTAATTTTGATATTTCATTTATGGAAAAATGTCGTAACTGAGATTAATATAAAAATAAGATCATATAAATTTCATAAGATGATACTGATACTTGTAGGTACCCTTCTCAGTTGAAATTGAAAAATCAAATTAACTTCTCCACACGTGTTTTAGAAAAAGTAAAGGCCTTAACAGCGGAGAACAATGCTTAACTCAAATAACGCAACTTAATTATATTCTGGTTGGTCTTCCGTATTTTATAATTACAGCTCAATTATAAGCACAAAATTACATTTCTTAATTACTGCGGATCTTCTGATTAGTCAAAATGATACAATTTACAACGCACTAAAAAAGATCTATCTCATAAGGACACTTATGAAAGCTGATCTGACTTTTAACTAATTTTATAATATTTTAACAACTTAAATGTAAAATCTATTATAATTAATGAAATAACAAATAATTGTATTAAAATTCATTTTCATCGAAAAAATTTTTTGCTTTCAGAAAATATTGTCCATATTCATAAAAACAACTAAAAGCAAATAAAAGCATTTGAAATTAAATAATATCTTTGTTTTATTGAGTTTTGTATGTTACAATTCAGAGCTGATTTTCAGGTACTGCGTATCCAATTAAAAAACAAAAAAAACATGATTTGCATTCCTCAAAGCCCTGTGCTTTTAATTATTGTAATCACTAAAACCGATGCGATCAATTTCTAGCGTTTTCATAAAATTAGTTATGGGGGTAATAAATATTTTTAAAAATATTTCTACCATGACTTTCATAAAAAAAACATATTTATAATAATTTCGATCATCTGTGAATAGTTTCTGAAAGTTTCATTAACATCCGATAATTATTTCTATTTTTGCACGATTTTTCAAATTAATGTGTGTCATACCAAAAAACGTGCTAAAAATTGTCTATGTTATTTACTAGTTCGCTGATACAAATAGAAAAAAAGGTTTTTTTTAATCAAAATTTAGAATGTTCTAAAAAGAAGGAAAATTTTTTAAAAATAATTAAAAAAAAACTTTGGTCTTTCCTCTTAATAATAACATAAGCATTTAGACAATAAAATTTAGTTTTCGGCAAGGTTGACATCTTTTTCATCAAGCTATGCTCTTTTTTTAGCGATTTCGTGGAGGTACCTATATAAATATAAATTATCCAATTTTGGCAATCGTTTATATCTTCTTAAGGGAGTACTGAACTCATAATGACCACTTTTATAGAACAAACAGCTAACAACTAAACTACAGTGAGGAGATCTTTATTATTTACTGAGTGAGATGACATTGTAAGGATATTGTAATAAAAATATGCTACTACTTAGATTTGTACAGAAAATTATTTTCTCCCAAAGCTTTCCTATTTTTTTTATGACTGGACCAATATATTTAAGTAGTGTTGAAAATACATTGTGACTGAATTATCATGAGAAATATGTAAGCCACACAAAAAAAAAAAAAAAAAGACACTGACCTGTCTACTAATTCTGAGAGGTATTTATCAGCTACACACCGGATACTCTTGTGGACATGGTTGAACTTGACCAGCAAGTATTGAGCATGCCTCTCTAACTCTCTTTCACGTTCATCAGTCTTGGGCTGCAAAAGTATAAATAAATAAAATATATATGTGATGTATATCTGGTCAGTGGACACAACAACATGTCTTGGTCAACAAAGAAAATATTTAATAGTGTACATGTGAGACTTTGAAATAAGCTCACCCTGAAAATAGACAGAAAAGTTCTGTTTTGCAACATAGATGAAATATTCTATTATCAGAAATGGTGGTGTTGGCTGGCAAATTGCGACTGCCAATTTCATGTACATTGATCATCTAATGATTGTACCTCTCTACGTTTATAAAATTGACAGTCACAACTTGCCAAACCCCACCATATATAAGTGTGACACTGACTGAAACACCCTCTTAGAAGATAAATTCTTTTATTTCAGTTTTAAGTGTTTTCCGTTTTAATGACCAGCAGTAAAGTCTGTGAAATGGGATCTTTAAAAGCAACCACCCACTTGCCCAAAAGAGAATAAAATAATAGATAAATAAAAACTTTTGAGAATAAATGACAATGAACTAGATATTGAGGATTTCAGAGTTGGGAATGAAAGTAGTTTTGGACTGCCTTTTGGTGAGTGAGGAGACTGTGCCTCAAGGTAATTCTGAGGTTGTCCAATAAAATTGCCAGCTGTGAGTTGTGATCGAGAGATGGGCTGGCTGAGACATGGTAAGAGAGAAGCAAAGTTCTTGCTGGTAAAATGAAAAACCTAATCTAGGTTTAGGTGTCCAAATGATGAAAAGCCGACAAAAAGACCTACACACACACAAACACATTATATATCCAAATCCAAGCTCTTCTCATTCATATTGGAGGATCTCTCCTTGACTGACTATGTCTTCAGCAGTGTAGCTGTACTCAACATGCTTTGTCAATTGTGGGTTGATGAGGCTATTTATCCCATAGTTTGGGTGGATGACTTGACTCTGGGATGTCATCCACCCTTTAACAGCTCATTTTTTTTATGCTACTGGGGCTCCAATTATATGTATATATGTATGTATATATAATAATAATTGCACTGAAGAAATGCAACATTCCTTGTAAGCACTGAGAAGAATGTGCATCTGATTGCAATAATTGGAATGAGTCTGCTCGGAGTGCAAGGTGTCACTTTGTGGAGGAGAAGAGGAGGCACACAAGGCTTAAAAGAGATATGCATAAAGGCGCCCCTATTAAACTGCTGAAGACACCAGCAGGCAGCTCAATTTGATGTGTACTAATTGTGGTAGAGTGTGTTTGTCAATGGATGGTCTAAGGAGTCACTTGAGAGTGCACTGACAGAAGGTGGCAATTTGACTATAAAACTGTAGACATCCAGCAATTGAAATGTGATATTTGTTGTAAGATATGCGGATCCAGAAGTAGTTTTATGCAACATTTTAAATTGAATGATAATGTACCATTCGCTGTTGGACCTCTTAAGTGCCCTGTTTGTGCCAGAGTTTGTGGGTCTCATGCTGGGCTAAAGAGCTCCATTCGTTCAGCACATCATTCTCAAAAAAGTTATGGAGTAATGGCTGTACTCAGACATGAGTTGACAACCAACATATATAATAATAATAATGGCTGCTTGTATCTGAGTATGCCTGTCTACTAAGGTGACTAGCAAATCCCTTTTGCAGACGCCTGCTCAGGCACATTTACATTTGCTCAGCATCTGCAGAGCCCACCTGTAGTTTATACTGCAACTATGCTGAGCAGACCTTAGTTACAATTTCTGGTAGAGAGTGCATTATCTGGCATGATCAACAGTGTGAACAAGGCCAGTACACTCAAACCCTCGGTCATGATTTGTGAGTTTGTGCTAGCAGAACCATCAATGGTCTCAATTAGTTCTGTCTACCCAATTTCACTCACAGGGCTTGGATCAACCCATGGTATGGTTTTCAGGCACTTTCCAAAGGTGCCACATGTTATGATCACCTCCCTAAGCCAATAACATGAAGTTACCTTCCTGACAAATCAATCATAGGGAATTTCAAACCGAGGTCACATGATCAGAGAATATGTATGTATATATGCTGGTCAAACCACATAATAAAGTCCTATATTAGATTTTGTTATTCAAGTCAATGTTTTCACAATAAAATTAGTATTAGTTAAGTGTTGTTGGGAAAATGTTCAATTTATATTTACGTTAAAATTAATATAAATTTCTATTGGAAAGTGTCAGGGGAGAGTGCGATTTTCTAATGTTATTAGATAATAAATTGATCCCCGTTACTACATTGTCATATTTTATTATGCAAATCAATACTTTTTAGAATGAAATTGGTATTAATCAATATCAATAAATTTACCAGAATACATGCGAAATTCAGTTAATAATAACTATTTTCAGGAGAAATATTTATAGTAATTTATTTATTGGTATGAGATTTTATTAAGCACCTTTTCAATAAATATAGTATAGTTATTTGTATTTAATTTCAGGTCTATGAACATTGTAATGGGTCATAACAAAAATATAAGCTGAAAAGAGACATTGTAAAGACATTGAGTTGATGTCAACACAACATTGAGAATTCTGTAAATCTTGAACAAAAGATTAAAAATACAATCAAAAATGAAATTGAAAACATTGGCAAAAACAAGAAAGGAACTCTGGTTTGCTACAAAATAAATCAGAAACATTTTGAAAGGGTAACAAGCAAGGAAAGTGGATTGACCAACAATATTTGAAGAAGTTGGCATTTCAAATGTAAATGCTGAAAAATATTAGCTGAAGACATGAAAACAACGAGGAAATATCACAAAGAGAAACACATAAATTAGACCAATAAGTACGAAAAACTGATTTCTCAACAATCATTTTTAGTGATGAATGTCAAGCTACATTGGTTGGATCCGATGGCTGAGCTAGGGATTAAATCCTTCATAGAAATAATCATCTAATACAATTTAGAAGACAACAGTGGGAGAGGTTGAGTAATGTTATAGGTTAGTATTGTAGGCTGTAAAATTATGTACCCCTTTAAAGTTAATGATTATATTAAGATAAATATGGATAATTATTATAAGATTTTTGACAAAATGTTTTTAGAATGGTATTTGAAGGTTACAAGCTAAAGAGAATAATCATGCTAAACAATCTACAAAACTATTGCTCACTTTACCCTTAAAAAAAAAAAAAAAAAAAAAAAAAAACTTTCAAAGACACTAAACTTTTTAATGATGAATCATGTTTTTTTCCCCCCCATTTGATTAATATGTAGAGAGACTGGGATGAATTCCATCTGAAATTCCATTTGAAAGCCTTTTTTTTGTTGTTTTTTAAGTGTCTTTATTGTTCTCCAGACATTTTTGCTTGTATATGGTTCCAGTTCTTTTTACTGCGTAATGTTAAAATTGAAACAGTAGAAAATGCATATGTTTTTAGAGGCTACGCTCTGTGTGTGTGAGAGATATGTTGCCCATAAGTTCTGGGAATTTGAAGACTGATCAATCTGTTCATCTGTCAAATGATCCAGAATTTCCTGTGTTGCACTAGAAATCTCAAATATTTCACAAAATCATTCCACAAGAAAAAAAAATGGTAAAACATTCAAATTGTAAAAAAAAATTAAAGGAAAAAAAATCTTCAATAAAAGCTTTCTCATATATTTATATATGGCATCAAATGTGTAATTCAGTCAAGAGATTAAGAAAGAAATTCATACCTTTTCTGCCATAACATCAAGAAACTTCTCAAAGACTTTGTGAGAAACTACAGAGAGGCATAACCACATGTCTGGAAAAGAGGGGAGAAAAAACTGAAAATAAAAAATTCATAAAAAAAAAAAAAATTTTGTGATCTGTGAAGATGATTTCATTATAAATTACTCCCCGACCTCCCACTCTGCATTCCCAAATCAGATAGTGCTTGCCAACTGTAAGTGATTCCACAGCATTCAACCGATTTAACTAGCCTTAATGTACAAGGGAAAGTCAAACATTATCCGCACTCATAACACAGATATGTACTCCATCTAAGCTGCGTTTAGAAATATCAACATAACAGAGATATTGCCTTTCCTTCCCCTTGTAAATATCATGTCCTAACATCCTGAAATTATTTGAAGCAAAAGAACTTTAAACTTGTGGTCTGAATAGTTTCAAGAAAAAGGCAAGTGAAATTAAGATGAAAGAAATACAAATCAAAAAAAGATAATGGTTGACAATGTTTCATTTAATCAAAATTCATGATAACATTTGCTACAGCAGTTTTAAACTTTTGCTAGCAAAAATACATTTATAATTTTCACTTTTTTTTTTTTTGGTACAGGGAGGATTTAAGCTTGTTTATCACTTTATTTAAATAATTTACATAGCATCACATCTAATTGTGTTGTCTACTGTCATGCTTATTGTGGATTTTTTTTTTACAGCTTATCAACCCCTTGTAAATTATTTAAAGCTGAAACATTTTGGATTGTAAGAATAATTCTATTTCATAAGTGAATATTACATTAATATTTTGGGAGATAACAATGATTTTTTTCTGATACAAGCTTTACTATTTAACTCATAGCTGGAGTGAGAGGAGCTTTTCCCAAAGGGTATTTGCCATTAGGTGAATATAATGAACTCAACTGGAATTGACTTTCTGATTACTCATTCCAAGCCACTATCCATTATAACACCTGCACATCTTAGTGAACCACTGAGAAGAGCATAGAATAAATAAGAGAAACATTCCTCTTAAAGGTTAATAGTAAAGGTCCACAATCTCTAATTAGTCATGATTGGTACTCAAGAGAAACCACATAAGTAAGCAAGTACCCCATCCCAGATACATAGATTGTTCCGGTCAGAATAAATAATCCAGTCATTTTTACAGGTGTCATACATTAAAGAAAAACAATGAACATCATATAATACGATTAAGGTTTTCACAGACAAAATCTATCAATATTGCTTGAGATTTTCAGATGGGTTAGTATCATTATACCAATAATTATCTGAATCAATATTCTCAGCATTATTTTTAATATCAAAACATTTCACACAAATGCCTTTGACACACTTTTCTTTTCGATGGATTTTCCAGTATTGGTTGTCAACAAGTTCAAAAGAAGAAATACTCTGAATTTAAAACCATAGAGAAAGCAACAGGAAAAGAACTATCACTATCCTTTGCCGAGAACAATAAAACCAATAACGCTGTAGAGAGACACAATTGTCTATATTCTAAAGAGACATGGCACTTGACAAGAAAGATTATAAAAGCAAAAATGAGTATATGGATTTGAATAACTTATAGTATAAAAGCTTTCTTCCCCCACCCCAGAAATTCAAACTTATTTGCCTCAAATGATGCCATGTTTGCACTTCACACTACGAGAAACCCTTTTTCATTACGACTGTGACTGGAGATAAATGAGGAGTTATAATAATAATAATAATAATAATGTTAACAAAAAAAACAAAAAAAACAAATATGAATTTTACAAATTCATGCCAAGAGAAGATTCTACTGGCACTCACACCATGGGACATGTGCGATCAATCATATGCATGAAAGCCTTTTATCTCCCATATGGAGATAATTCAGCTTGACTCAATGCCTTTGATGATGAGCTGGTAGATGGGATTTCCATCAACAAAGAACAACTTCATTTGGTTGTCATCTTGTTCATCCAACTTGATTGCCACATATTGTTCACCTATTTCTCAGGAGCATCAACGGTTTGTACAGCAAGAAGCAGCCAGTGACCTATATAGCTAATATTACCTTTATAGTTAGAACTGTACCTGTATAAGCAAAAATTTAACATGGATGATGGATCTGGGTCAACTGGACAAATATATGACTATCCATTTTTCAAGATGGACTGATTTGTTTTTTTACGGGTTATCAACATTTGCAGATTATTTAAAGCTAGAAAATTTTTTTTTTAGCTTGTAATAATTTAGAGGGGGAGATAATAATGATTTGCTAATAAAAGTTCTACTAATTAACCCATAGCTGGAGGGAGAAGATGTGTATTCATAGCTTTCTCAAGTGTATTTGCATGTAAGTGAATATAACAAACACAACTGGAATTGGAACTCAGCTCTTTGATTTCTAATACAGAGCCATCATCCATTACACCAGCCACACATCCAAACTTACAGCCCCTGGTATTCCCAAGCGGTCAGCCATCTAGGTACTGACCAGGATCAATGTTGCTCAACTTTGGTGGTTGTACAAAAACTGGCATTTCCATGAGATATGGCTGTAAGCTCGCCTTTTCAAGATTGATAAAAAAATCAGGGTGTACTTACTTGCCTTGTCCTTGATGATGGTGTTATCTTCTAGGTAATGAAAGAGTCCTTGGAATGACGTGGGATCTGTGGAAAATGTTACTCTGCAAAAGCAAAATTATTGAACAAAATAGACAAAGATGCAGAAGGATAAGAAGCCATTGTCTATGCAAAGACTTTACTGTCTCGCCAGCAAAATCACTTTCTTCTATAATACCAGGGGTCAGAAAGTTTTCAAAGAGAGTGGGCTAGACATCTATGCAGTGTCACAGAAGTGGGCCATGATATCAAATATACCATAATAAAGTGTCTTGACCCCAGATCGCTCTGCCCAGAAATCTGCCTTGGTCTGGAGTTTTAAAGAAAAAACAACAATGTTAACGCTATATTATTTAAACAATGTTTCTTATTTTACTGCAGAAATAATAGGATAACTAAAAAACACAATCTCAACATAAAAATGCAAATTCCTTAATACAAATGAAATGCAGTTATTTAATATTTGTTTCTGCTCATTGTTTGATAACGTCTCCATATCAGGCAAAATATTTGTTGATGATCATCAAAGTGGTTATCACCCAACCTTATTCTTAAACAACTTTTAGTATATATCATTTTTGAAAAAAAAGTTGTTCGCATGCATATGTACCTCCGAATAATATCATCATTTTCTCATTATTCAACAGGATTTTATATTTTCCACTTGGCAAAACACGTCTTGTAGAAGGGGATTTGGAATTAAAATTTGATTTTAAAATTTTTTCGCTTTGTAAGTTAATTAACTCCAACTGATATTTTTTCTGACACTTGCTTCACAAATTAATTAGTAATTAGTGTCCAGGTATTAAGTTGGCAGGCCAGACAAAAATCCTTCACAGGCTGGATGTGGTTCAAGGGCCAGGGGGTTGCCAACTCGTCTTCTATACCAAACACAGAGACACACAATAAATTAAGAATTATTGTTTGTTATTTAATTGGAATTAATTTGATTCTAATGACAGAGCAAAACACTTCATCAAAACAAACCACAAAAGCCCAAAAGAAATCAAAATTGTATATAAATAGAATGTCAATTCAGGATGACCAAACTGTGCTACAAGTTATAAATTTGGCAACATAAGAAAGACACAAAATTTTTAATTGACATTCTTCTCATTCATAGATCAAGTTAGTCCAGCTTGTTCTTGGAAGTGGCCCTGAAAGTTACAAGCAGCAATATTTCAAAATTTAGTAAGACTGAACTTTCAAAAGTTGCTCAATAAGGTTTAATTGATGATTATAATCAGATAGAATAGAAATGAAGATTTCCAAAAATGCATTTACTTAAGGCTCACTTAAGCTTCTCAATAATTTTATATTAGTTTTATTATGATAGTGAAAAGAATTGAAGTCTTTTTGGAAACGATATTTGCAAAAGATGTCGTCCAAGATGAATAGCAGATTGAAAATACCTGAGAGTCTCAAGACGGAAGACTGATAACAGGTAAGTACACTGGGCAAAGTTGAGTCTATTGACCACTGGAATGATGTCGGCATTTTGGTTGAGCAGACTGCAAATACTGGAGCGTAGTTCATTCAGATCTGCCTGAAAATTCATAAAATATTCCAATCATATTTCAAGTGTATGAAACGTTTCTATGAAGTTAGGGGAAAAACAGTTTGCATGGCCAAGGATAAATACAGAAGAATAAAAAATAGAGCAGTTTAACATCATCGAACTTTCATCAAAATAAACATTTAACTTTATTTGAGAGAAAATATTTTTTATTCAATAATTTTCTTTCTTTTTTTTCCCCCCTTTTTTGTTGCATGAAACAAGGAACTTTATATTATGTTTTTATTTCTACAGCTAAGAAAGTTGATTTGCTGTGTTGTGCTGAACAGTTTTTCTTGAAAGAATCTTACATATTTATAAATCAGCTATTCATCCTTGCCTTGAAATATTGCTGCCACATTTGGTCTGAAGCTCCTTCTATATATATAGAAATTCTTGATAAAATCCAAAGAATTTGCAGTGTTATTGGTTCTGATCTGGCATCTTCGTTTCAGTCTCTTTCCCATTGCCATAATGTAGATTCCCTTTTCCTTTTCTATAAATAATTTCATGATAATTGTTCTGATGAACTTTCCATTATGGTAGCAAGACTTTATGAATTTAAGTGTAGTACTAGATTGTTGGCAAGGTCTCATCAATATGCAGTTGTCTAGATGTAACCAGAAGTTCCATGCTAACAGTTTATTCTATCACACTTCTCGCATGCGAAACTCTCTTCCAGCTTCTTGCTTCCCAGTCAACTTTGATCTTCAAAAAATCCAATGTCGATCGTTATCTTCTGCCTTCTTAATTCTTGTTTTTATTGTCCTCTCTCCTTAATAGTAGTTTTTCTCATATTGTCTAACACTCTGTAACCCCTTGCATCTTAGTGGCTTTATTGCCTTACTTGATTTTGAAAAAAGTTTTCAATCATTCATTCATCTGATAGATTAAAGCACATATTTGCAAATTTGGTAGATCACTGCACAATAAATAAATTCAATCCCCTGGGTTGGATCATTCTGACTCAGACTCAGTGGAAATAGAGCAAGCAATAACCGACCAGTAGTAATTAAGAACAAGACAAGATACCCCTTGACATAACTAGAAGAATGGGAACAATCTAACTCCATAGATTAAATAAAGGGTTAAATTTGAAATTCCTTGGCAGTTACCAGGATTGAAAACACCTGATGAAGGCTGGAGAGGACAACAGCTGAAACAATAACAACAAAGATGATAGCATTAGTTTGAATGTAAATAATTTTCTTTTTGATTGGTATAATTTCCCGTATATAATTGATTGATGCATTTTCTATGTGTCATCAACCCTTTGCAGGTTATTTAAACCCAGAAAAAGGCTTATGGCCATTTCATGTTGAAACACTGATTCTCTTATGATCACCAAAGCAGTGTTGAGAATGGTCAGTACCTAGATAAGAGACTTCTTGGAAATATCAGGTGCTCTCAGCTTGAATGTGCAAGTACTTTAGTGGATAATGGCTCGGAATTGTTAATTGGAGAACCAAGTTCAAATTCCCATTGAGTTTGTTACATTCACTTAAGTACAGATACTCTTGGGAAAGGTATGAATCCACTGATTCTGCCCCCAGTTATGGGTTAAATAGTAAGACTTGTATCACTAAATCCTTATCTCAAAAAAGAAAAAAATTCTTGCAGCCTAAAATATTTTCTGTTTTTTAATAATCTGCAAAGGCTTTAGAAGATGGAGAAAATGGATTAATTGATCAATCAACACAGAAATTATTTTTGAATTGTAAGAATTTTTTTTTTATTTAAAGGAGATAATAATGTTGGAACTGCTATGTAATATTGAGATATTTGGGAAGAATATTAGTCTAATCTAGGACCAATACTGGCAGCAAACTCCTTGCACATGGACAGAACATGAATTCAGTAAATATACAAAAATAGAAAGGGCTGTAGAACAAGGATGGGTCGTCTCACCAGACCTATTCAGTCTATATAGTGAGGCGATTCTGAGAGAATTAGAAGTCCTTCCAGGATTCATTATTGGCAGCGACAATCTTAACATAAGATATGCAAATGTCACAGTGTTGATAGCAGACATATATAAAGGAATCTACAAGAACTCCTATAGAAGTTAGTGAAGGAATGTGAGAAGAAAAAAAATAACATCAGTTGCAAGAAGATGGAATGCATGGTTGTTAGTGAAAGGATGAGCCCCACATGCAAATTACAAAGTGGAGATACCAAAATCAAATAATTACTACAATTTAAATATCTGAGAAATGTTTGAACAGAAGTTCGAATGAAAGTTGCCTTCCAAAAGCTAAGCAAAGTATTAAGAAACAAAAATTTTGTCAGAAACAAAGAAAAGAGCACTGAACTGTTATATAATATCAATCCTCCCCATATAGGCAGTGAATACTGGATGATCTCTTCACAGATGAAGAAGAGCCTTAAAGCAACAGAAATGTGCTTCTACAGAAGGTTGCTGAGAATACACTCCTGGCCAAAATCTTAAGACCAGATACAAAAGGGGTTAAAAAATATAATAATGTTCCTTTAATTGAAATATATTTGCAAAACATTTACATTTAATTAGAAAATGTAGTTTAATAACAAACAAGTGAAAATTTTAAGCTTTTAATTGATTAATCTAAACAAACATTGAAAAAGTATTTTTTAGTTGGTCATAAAGATAAGACTGTGTGAAAAAGAAATTACTGGACAAAAATCTTAGAACTAGTCAGTGTGCCCATAGCTTCAGGCATGTAGACATCTACTTAGCTCATTTTCAGCATTAACTTTCAGATTTTAAAATGGCTATAGGTAAAATTTTAACAAATTTTGAACAGGAGAGGATTGTTGAACTTCAAAGATGTGCTCTTTTGCAATAACCCATTGCAAATGGAGTTGGCCATAGCAGAACTGTTATTGCTAACTTCATTACAAATCTGGATGTGTATGCTACTAAAATAATTGGTTGCCCCCAATAAAATCTCACCATATCTAGACAGATGCATTAGGCGAGAAGTTAAGAGAGATTCAAGCTTAACTTCAAATCAGATAAAAGCAAATACAGATGCTGAATGGAGTTCTTGAACAATTCGACAGCATTTAAATAAGAAAAAGGTTAAGAAAGTGAAACAGCTGCCAAGGTCTCACTTTGTTCCTTGCCATAAAACTTCCTGTTTATAATCTGCTTCAGATTATCAAACTTGGGATGTGGATAAATGGAAGAAAGTCTTGTTTTCAGACAAGAAAAAAATTCAACCTTGATAGCCCAGATGGTTTTCAGCATTATTGGATGGATGGATGTTGGATTTAACGGCATGTCAACTCCTGTTTCAGCATTATTGGCAGGCAAAAGATGTTCCAAAAGAAATTTTCTTAACACAATACAGTGGAAGTGGATCAATTATTGTCTGGGAATTCATTTTTGTATAATGGAACTCGAATTACAGGAGGTAAAAGGTCGTCAAACAGCTGCTAGTTATATTGAGATGTTAAGAAAGGCATCACTAATTATTGAAGGCCCTCGTCTATATGGAGAAAAGTGGATTTTCCAGCAGGACAATACTGCAATCCACAAGGTCGAAGGAGTTTTTTTTTATAATGGCAAACAACATTCAGAGACAAAAAACGTGCTCTCCAGATCGAAACCCAATCGAGAATGTTTGGGGATGGATGGCAATGGATGTTTATAAACATGGATCACAATTTGGAACTGTGGATGCTCTTCATGCTGCAGTTTATGCATTCTGGGTGAACATCCCAAGCACCCTCATGCAGAAGTTAATGAGTATGCCAAAGTTAATTTTTGAAGTAATTCACAAAATGGAGAATATACTGAATATTAAATTGTCGTTGTGACTTATTTGTTCTGTATTTTCTATTTTTTATTTACATGGTCTTATTTTTATGACCAAACAAAAAATACTTTTTCAATGTTTGTTTAAATTAATCAATTAAAAGCTTAAATTTTTCACTTTGTTGATAAACTACATTTTCTAATTAAATGTAAATCTTTTGCAAATATATTTCGATTAAAGTAACAGTATTTTATATATTTTTAACCCTTTTGTATCTGGTCTTAAGATTTTGACCAAGAGTGTACCATGGACCAAACATGTGAGCAATAACAAAGTTTTGGGGAAAATGGAAACAAGACATACTTAACATCAGGAAGAGATAGTGGAATTTTCTAGAGCTCATAATGAGAAAAATAACTTGGAAAATTTGATACTCACAGGACAGATTGAAGGCAAGGCAAGAGAGAGAGGAAAACAATACATAACCTACATAGTGAGCTTGAGTAAATGGATGACAAAGCAATGTTTAGAGATAACAAAATTAATTAAGAGCTACAAAGGACAGGAAATTGTAGAGAGCCATGATCGTCCATATCCTGAAGCAACAAAACACAAAAGCTGCTTGTGGTAACTTTGCTAGTTGTAACTAATTTATTGTACTCAAAATTAACATTGCTGTTTTCTAAACTTGACCAAAGGTCCATTTGGTTTTAGACCAAAGGCCCAATTAGTGTAGCAATAAGAGTTAAATTTAAGACAACTCAATATATAGAACATTTACTTTCGACCGATGGCTAGCAGTAATTGGAGTCAACTTCAAAGTACAAGATCAAGACTGAGAGAAAGTGACAGAAGGAAGATTAATTGTTTTTGAATGAAGATGACAGGACAAAGAAAAATGTTTATGAATCTGACCATCCTGTGCAAAAAAAAAAATAGAAGGTATGTAGTAAGCTATGTAGAAAGACAGATCATTAGTGACTGAATTATGCACCTCTCACTTGCACCTAAAACTACCTTTGCTCACTTATAGTAGAGTATAAGAATAAAATTTGGTTTACTACTAGAAATTGTTTTGTTTTTCACTCGTGGGTAACAATCTGTCCGAAAGGTAATTTTTAAGCCACAAGCATTTGACTGAAAGAAACTGGGCCCTGTCAATGAACCTGGTGTCTATAGTCAGAGCTGCAAATGCAACATTAGCCCTCCACAGGAGCTAGCTTAAAAGTCAGCACCTTTTAAGCTAGTTTACCATAAAGATGAAACCTGCAGAAAAAACATGTCCTTGGCCCTCACTCCACCAGCTTCATAAACATAAAATATCCACAATGGTGCAAAATAATCTCTTGAAAAAAACAAAAACAAAAACATATGATGAAAGGCAATCAACTCACTTGGGCCACACCATCATTTTTAAGTGCTGTGTTGTACCGCAGTTCTGATCGTAAATGTTCTCTGGAAAGCAGCAATGGAGACTTGACAGCAATTTCACACACTCCTTCAAACCAATCACTCGGCCAAATACCTAGAATAAAATGTGAATATCAATCTCAAGCCAATCAGGTGGAAGCACACATCATGTATGTGTGTGTATATATATATATATATATATATATATATATATATATATATATATATATAGTGAAAAACATCTGGCATACATCAGTGATGTTTTTAGTTAAGGATCCTTAGAGGCTTTGAATCTAACCATACCTCTATGCTAACCAAACCCATATTGATCAGATATTGACATGTATGTCAGCCGTCAGCTACGACTTTTCTTATAATCAAACAATATTCTAACCAACTGTGACAAAAGAACTCCTAAATAGTTCAATCAAGATCAATTTCCTGTTCACCAGCTTCTACACTTTTCTATAAATGGAAGCAAACATAGCGATTGATACTGATTGATTTTATATATATATATATATATATATATATATATATATATATACATATATATACCTACGTTTGTAATGCAACTTAAACTTTCAGTGTTCCCAACTTTAAGTTTCACTGCAAATGTAGGTATATGTGTATTTATTAATATACACTTCATATTTCTGTTTAAACTACATTGAGCACTGTTTTGTTTGCAACATAAATTAAATCAAATATTTATTTGCTTATCTATGTAGGCACACTTTCGCACACATATACAGTTGCTAATATCTCATTATTTAGTTTATATTCACACTTATATATCTACATAGATACCTCCAAGCAAGTCACATTAAAAAGAACTGACAAGGTGTGTTCGTTTAATTTTTTTCTTATACTTTTCCAACTTTTGGAGAAGATGTTGAGTATTATGTTTGAAATTGTGGATAAACAGTTTGAAGTTCATATTTTGTTATTTTTGTTCAAGTACTTTTGACTTTACAGTCGCATCAAGAACTGATGTGGTGTTCGTGTTGCAGTTAGAATTCCTTTAACTGAATCTTGGTATTCATTAGGATGCTAGATGTTTGAAATGGTCTAACGTGATGTGTAACTGCTACTGAGAATATGGGAGTACAAAAATAATTTATTTTATCAATTTACTTGTTAATTTTTACAGCAATTATATCCCATACACTTCAAGATACCATCTCCTGTGGTGAATATTTTATTTCATGTTAGCTGTTTTATTTTGTATAATAATAGATTCAAGAGTTTTGAGTTTTTCCTTGCAACTGGTGCTTACTGAGTATTTTGGTATTCTCAACTATTATATTCATATTATATATATAATGAATACTGTTGTATAAGTGTCATAGCCGACACTGGTTTGAAACTATATCGCCAGTAACATGGGTGATTCCATCACGTGATCATAAAGGAAGTGAATAAAGAAGAAGAAGCGTGATGACTATATGTTCACTGTTCACTCTTCTTGCCTATCCACCATTGCTGTATGTTCACTTTCTTTACTACTATACACATTAGGATTCTCTTCTGATCAAAATACTATTTGGCGATTACTAGTGTGGATATTATTGGAAGGTGTTATTACTAGTACTGGCATCTACGAAGTTTCAAATATAATGAACATTTTTGGAAGTGATAACAAGCTTACACTTGAAATAGCAAAAGTGACAAGTGAAGCAATCCAACATCACAAAAGTGGCAATGAGGATACGCAAGGAATCACAAAAAATACCAAGATGCAAAGTAGTTAAAACTACCAAAGAGATGCCACACTGGTTTTTGATAACGACTGGGAAGTCAAAAGTACTTGAACAAAAATAACAAAATACGAACTTTGGACAGTCTATCTACAACAATATTCAACATCTTATCTTAAAGTTGGAAGTCTATAATAAAAAAATTAAACAGGCAGGCCTTGTTGGTCCTTTTTAATCAAACTTGTTCAGATTAATACTTGCTGACAAAATACAGGGCACGATGGGTGAGTTGTTGCTATTTTATATTTTTAATTTCATGCATGCATGTTGTTTTTTTTTTATTTTGTCAACTGCACAGTATTGTAGTATCAGTTAAGCATCATCTGTGAGAAAAAAAGCCCCATGATGCAATTCACTCAGAAATTTAGAAAAGCTGTACAGCTTGGTATTTGCACTGGAAGCTTCAATATGAACATTTCACAGTGTTTGGGCGTCAATCTGAAGACAGTGCAGAGGATTCAGAAAGAGTTGAATGAGAGTCTAATGGTGATTACAAAGGTAGAGCAGCTCAAAAAAGTCACTCTGATAATTCTGATAAGAAAAGAACTCTTGAATTTGTTGCTGAGGGCCTCAGACTCAACATGGAGGCCTACATCAAATGTTTCAAGGAAGTAGTGCTTCCCTAGGTCAAGAGGTTAACTGCTGGAAGACTATGTCAGGAAACAGAATGCTGTACCATGCCACACAAGCAGGAGAACCCAGTCATGGCTGTCAGACAATTTTTGTGACCACACATCACCCCTTACATTTGGCCACCTAACTCCCCAGACTGCAACCCCCTTTGTGGGGTGCAGTTGAATGAGAGACCAACAAAACTCCTTGTAACACCAAAGATGAAATGAAGGCAAGGATCATGGCAGCATTCACCAACTTAAACAAGAAGACTATTTCGAAGAGTTGCAGGAGATTCCGCAGTTATCTGGAGGCTGTGGTTGAAGCCAATGGTGATTTTATGGAATAAATTTAGTCTTTAAATATATCTGTTAAAATGAGATGTCAGTATTATTTTCAGTTTTGTGTTATTTAGACAACAAATAATCAATCGCACACTGTATTTAAGAACAACTGCAAATAAAGCAAAAACAAAAGTATCGAAAAACAAATTGAAATTATCTGAATGAATGCCAGAAATTTAAAAATTAAGAATTTTGCATCCCCTATGTCTCCAGACTCTCCCTTCGGTGCATAATTATAACCAATATTTACATTTATATCTTCCTGTCCCTATAAATTTTATATATATATATATAAAATTCCAACAATAAGAACATTACTTTTGTCAAATAATGTACTTTTAGCGGACAAAACTTGTCACATAGAATTTTTTTTCTCATAATTATCCAGCATTGTTCTTATATAAAGGAATTTGTAGATCATATTCTCCTAAATCTCTATCTATATATTTATGACAAATATTCATTTTCCCCATTCTTACCAACCAGTGCATTCTCTGACTGTGTTTGTTTTTTGTTTTTTTACAAGAGAAAGTTGTTCTCAGGTAATCTTGGTCATTTTCACTTTTAATCTAATTTTTATATTTTTAATGCCATCAACATCTGACAAATTTCACTTGAAATTTGGATAATAGACTAACCAAAATATTGTGAAAAATAAAACAAAACGATAGCAAAAAACAACCCCTAAAAAAAAAAAAAAATATTGAACAATTTTTTCTGAAATGCTTATAAAAGATGTTTTTAATTTACAACTGAAAATTTTGATGTCACCTACAAAATTTCATCTCTCTCTCTCTCTCTCTCTCTCTCTCTCATTCCATATTTTTAACAGAAAGTTCAAAACATCTCAATCAACAAAAGGACTTAAGAAAATTTTTCTAATTGGACCAGGAAATTTGTCAGATTGGACGAATGAAGTCAATTCAGAATTCAGTCATGTTGGGCTTTCAAATGTAACCGAATTCACTACTTGTGAACCCCAATCTGGAAACTTCTTGTCAGTCATCAATATTCAATTATCTTTTAAAATCAATATTAAATGAGGAATCAATTTTGTCAGCTGTATAAAATGTTTTATGTATTTTTTGCCTGCTTTTGAGGAAGTTAAGTTTAACTCTCACAATTTTAGAGATATAGTCAAAAAAAAAAAAAAAAAAAAAAATCAGGGAGAAAAGCTGCACCACTGCACACATTAAGACAAATCCCTGCTTTCAACTGTGAGCAAGATCTCTGCACCAGTTTCAGTGAACAAACTTAAATGTATTGTTGCCGAAGACCATAGTCTTGAGTAGCAGTGTGGATTTCAGAACTAATTGTCACACAAAAGGTTGTTGCTCCGAGGCATGGATGCAAGAGAAATATTAGCCTTATTAAAAGATATCAGGAGTTTTTCACTTGAGAAAAGGCAAATTTTGGACAAGGCAAAATCTGAAAAAAATCATATGACTCCAGGAAAGCTGTTTATCTAGAATAATCAAAGTCCATCAAATCAGATATGTCCGGAAATCATCTCCAACATGATTTTAACATCTCCAAATACTAACCACTTGAAACTTTGCAGCTAACACTTTTCCCTATATCTTTCAGTCTAACACTGAAACATGTTACCAAAAAACTTGGGTCATTTTGCACTCAAAGAAAATCATTTCTTTAAAAATGATGCACATAAAGGTTAAAGAACAGCTGGTTAAAGAGTTTCTATTTGCTGATGACCTTTTAGTAATTCACAAACTCAGCTCTACTGCATCCAGATTTGCAATGGTGACAGAACTGTTGGAGTCAGAATGAAGGAAAATTATAATCCGACATCAGTTAGCATCCATGACAAGGCATCAGTCACTTTCTGTCTCAATTAGCCAATGAGAACTAAAAACTCTCCAAGTGATTCTCTATTAGCGGTGAGAAATATCTTTTGATGTTAAAACAGAATCACATCATTCTTGATATATATTATGTGAGTTAATTACACAAAGTCATTACAATAAAACATTGATCTGAGGCAAGAGAGTCAAGTACAAAGTCAGACTCAGGTGACATATGACCTCACAGCTGCATGCTTACTTATAAATTTTGGAATAAGTCACATGACAGATATAAAAACACCCACTCTAGTGGAGAGTTTTTCAGACATTGCAGGTGAGAATGTAAGGCCCATATTTTAGAAAGTGGCTCCATGGCAATTCACTACCCCCACCACACACACTGGCTGACAGTTATTGATGAAGTCAGTTGAATAAAATATGATGTAAAAGAGATTTAATCTTGTCTTATTAATCTCATTGCACAATAACACTTGCTTTAATTCCTGACCACTGACGTTACCTTTTTTCTAATAATCAATGGACAACAAAGAGAATGCAAATATTCACTCTAATTTTAGATTTAAAAATTTGGAAACTTTGATTTAATCATTATTTTTTTTTCTTATACTAATTTCAACTATTTAGTTTATTACTGCAGAAAAACTATTGATAGAAAATGAAAACAGGTGGAGTATAGGTAAAGTCAGTGAACAGCACTAAAAAAAAAAAAAAAAAAAAAAAAAAAAAAAAAAAAAAAAAAAAAAAAAAAAAAAAAAAAAAAAAAAAAACAATTGCCTAACCTTTCCAGATTAAAATTTATTCAGCAAAAAAGAATCATTAAATAAATAGAATTTTTTTTTCTATTTCCTTTCTTATATAACTGAAGACAAGAAAAAAAAAAAGGCTTCTAAAATCACTAGGTTCTTACCTGAATCTTCCACTGCAAATCCCATAACAACACAATAGAGCCAAAAATCTCGGAACAATTTGTTCAGGCGTTGCCTGGGATCTCGGATTGGTGGTAAGCGACGAACAAGCTGGGAGAAGAAAAGATAAGCAATGATTAGTAAAGATATCATTTCTTTTTTTTTTTTAAATTTCATTTCATATGAAAAATAACATGAGCTGAGAAAATAAAAATTGTTCAGTTTTATTTGCTTTGTACAAAAGTTATTCTGGTTTCCTACTTTATAAATAATTTGTGTTATCAAATGTTTTCTTATTGGATAATGAAAGAAAAAAAAAACTTATAAATTATTAAAATGTAATGGATTTTTAACAGTGAAAAATTACAAACTAACTGTTTTTTTTTTTACAGTAAGTATAAAACTGAATATGGCCCATTTTCATGTCAGTGATCCTATTCATCTGTGAAATATAGACCCATACATAATGAAACTCCAAAGAAGAATTCTAGCAAGAGAGATGAAATGCTACAGGAAGATCTTAGACATCGCAGTTGCTGAATATGGAACAAATGAAGCAGTCCAGAGAAACATCCATAGAATAAGTGAATCTTATGAGGATTTCTTTACAAGTATCAAAATAATAGATGTTAAAACACCTTGCAAAAACCATTTTGCATGGAATAGTTGTAGGAACTCACAATATCAAAGAAAAAGATCAGAGAATAAAATTGAGGAATTGACAAGCATGGAAGAGGCAGAGTCTCTGAGAGTTGCAAAGGACAGAGAGAAATGGAGGAGAGTGGTAAAGATGTCTTCCAACAGAGGTCAAGTGAGGTCAAGGGATAAACAAATTTAAAACATGACTTTGTATTATTCTAAGCTTTTGACATGAGAGAAAAGCCTATGAATGTGATGAAAGTATGTATGTCAAACCCTAACCCTTACACATCCAATTGTCCCTTTGTTACCCTCTTACAAATGAGCAAATGGAAAGAGGATTTAATATCCTTTAATTGATATTGGTAAAATAAAAACAATTTGGGAGGAGGGGGGGTTAATGTATAGTAGCTATGAATGAGAAATTATAGAGCTGAATTCAAATTCCAGGCAGACAGATCTCTCTAGTGATAACTGGCAACCAGTTTAGGAGAACTCTGGATTCAATACTTTAACAACCAAATCATGGGTTCCACTTTGGCAAGGTCTATACCTATAGTGGAAGCCAACCCTGTCAGGTTTATGGTGAAGTCATCTAACAAAAACAATGAACTGCAAAGGTGTCATGCAAAAGATCCTTCATATTGGATAAGAAGATCTAATTATTCAGAGTTTGATAGAATTTGCAAAAACATCTACAGTAGTGCATTGCAACTCCAAGAATCAAATCTTATGTGATTTATAAGTTGACCATTTATCCATGAATTGAATATTGCTGCTACATCTAGTCTGATGCTTCTGCTATATATTTAGAGATTCTAGATAAAATCTAAAGGAATCAGCAATGTTATTGGTCCTGGTTTGACATCTCAGCTTCAGTCTCTTTCCCACTGTCCTAATGTAGTCACCCTGTGTCTTTTCTATAAATATTGTCATAGTAGTTGTTCTGATGAACTTTCCTCTTTCATACATAGACTTTATGAATATAAGCACAGTACTAGATTGGCAGCTAGGTCTCATCATTTTACTGTTGAAATGTCTGCTGACATGAAGTGGGAAGATTATATTGAATCAATTGTTAAGTCTACAGCTAGGAAAGTCATGCTGGACAATTTTTCTCACCAGAATCTTTCTTACATATTTATAAGTGTACCATTTGTCCTTGCTTTGAATATTTCTGTCACATCTGATCTGGTTCTCCTGCTATATATTTAGATATTCTTGGAAAAATCCAAAGAATGTTATTGATCCTGACCTGGCACATCGGCTTCAGTCACTTGCCCACTACCCTAAAATAGCTTCCTTGTGCCTTTTCTATAAATACTTTTATTATAATTGTTCTAATGAAATTTCCTCTATGGTACCTAGACTGTATGAATTTAAGCACAGTACTAGATTGGCGGTTAGGTCTCACCATTTTACAGTGGAAATTGCTTGATGGAACCATAAGTTCTATGCTAAAAAATTTATTCTCTTGCACTTCTCAATTGTGGAACTCTTTTCCAGCTTCTTGCTTCTTAGTCAATTTTGATCTTCAAAAATTTAAATGCAATATCAATTATTATCTTTTGTCTTCTTAATTCCTGTTCTTTTATTGTTCTCTCTTATTAATAATGTTTTCTTTTTCTCATATTCTCTAACACTCAGTAACTCCCTTGTGTCTTAGTAGCGTTATTGCCTTGCTTGGGGTGAAATGATTAGGAAAAAAATTACATAACCAAAACACTTACAATGACATATCACCCCAGTAAGTACCTGACTGCACATGCTATCCTCTAACTTTACAAAACCCAGATCAGGCCAAGAATGAAATACTGTTGTCAGTAGGAGCTTCACAGACTGAACTTTCCAGCCTTGATAGAGTTCAAAAGCATCTGCACACCCTTGTGGGGGACAAATTATTTTCCATCCTCTCTTTCATAGGCGGGGATGTCGAATGCCTATCACTGCTCTATTGATACTTTCACAGAACGTGCTCGAACAAACTACAGTCTTTGGAACTACCAGCAAGGACCCACCATACTACTTACATTGTAAGAAAACCACCCACATTCCCGTTGTATTCCATCAGTAAGAAGTAAGTTCCACTCAAACAGCTTCTTCCTGCAAACTGCTGCTCTGTGGAACTGACTCCCAAGAGGATGTTTCCCACCAAACACTACAATCTTAGTCTGTTTAAGTTTATCATTAAAAATTACCTTCCTCACCTATTCACACAAACTGCCTTCTAACGTAATGCTCTACCTAAAACAGCTCCACGGACCTTGTACAGAGTGGACCTTACTGTAAAGGAAAGGAAAAAAAAAAAAAACAAACAACGCCAGAAAAAAGTGTGTGGATGCTATGAGACATCCCAATGGACAATTTTGTCTGTCTGTAAAACAAAATCTCTTACCACAGCAATGACAGGAATGAGAAGACCCAGATTTCCTGCACTGTTGGATGCCTATAAGGTAAATAGAAAATTTATTATAACAAAGAAATCTCTGTCTACAAAAATAAAAAAAAGAAACAAAAAAAATTGAACAGAGAAAAAATTAATTTGTTTTTTTGTTTTTGTTATGCTGACAAAAATACATTTTTATGATCATTTAGAATCTGCTCAGTAGAACACTGCTTGGGGGGCAGCAGAATGTGTTTGTTACCTTACACTCTGGTGCACCAATGGAAAGGTGCCACCTAGGAAAGAGACTAAAGCTATTTTTAACCATCAGTTTGAGAAAATGATTTTATTCAGCAGACAGTTTAGATATTTCCTCTATGTTGTTTTGATCAAGATTTATTGACATCAATTTGGATTCTAGTTTATTACAGAATTCTAATCTTATTCTTCCATTTTTAAGAGCCTCAATGTTATACCTTGGTGTATTTTGTGGCTTATGTGGGTGGAAGCAAGCTATATTGTTGGCTGGTGTTGCCAGTTTTGTGAGGAACGAGAAAACTTACCTCCCACAAAGTGAATTTGCTTGGCGTGTCAGGTCCTGTTGAAAGATCACAACCAGCATTAAAAGAGAAATGGATTATTCCAACATTCTCATATCGTGGGCAGACGTACAAACGAAAAAAAAAATATAAAAAAGACTAAGAATTCAAACCAGCTTGAATTTATAAAATCAGAAGTCTTGGGCAAATGAGAAGTAAGTCTTGTATGCAAATTTTAGTTGAGCACCGACGCAGGCATAAATAGCGAGTCTGGGAGGAAGACAAGAGAGATCGCATTGTTGGCATGATGGCATATGTGCGTACTAACAAGACTGAGAGAATAAGAGGTCACTAGCAACAGCTTAGTTGGTAGACCAGAGGACTGGACGAAAGCAAGCACTTTAATCCATTTCAGTCATCACAAACAACAGGCGAACTGAAGTAGTTACAAGTAGTCTGTCATCAGATTCAAAGTTGCATTAACATCTGTCACAAACTGCCTAATCCAAGAGCCTCTGAGATGCTGAAGTCAGTAACTTTTTTAGTTACGCTATCTGGACTATGACATATGATACAGTGTCTCATTGGATAATTAAACCATATGTTAAAAATGGAATATCTTTTTGAATGAGAGTTCTCCATTGCTGTTCAAGGCTTCTGTTTCAAAGAATGACATCTTACCATCAAAGGATCAGTGGCATTCAAAAATACTTGAGGTAGCATTAAAATCCCTTTTAATGAACAGTTTTCTTTTTTTTTTTCCTAATATAAAAAGTTTAGTTAATCATGTGTAGAATTTTTCTTTTTATGAAACAATACTTTTTTTTTTTCCCCCCAGTGAGGGCATAAGCTGATATTAGTCAGAAGATACAGCCACAAACAACAATGTTGGTAGCCATTAGACACCTTCTCACAGATGTAAGATATTATGTATTTCAATATCTGAGGATTTACATATTGCAATTCCAACATCAGCTAGAAATTCCAAAATGGTTACGAAATAGAACAGAAATCCAAATAAGGTCAAACAGTACAAGAAATATTGTGATGAAACCAACCAATGTGGACATCAATTTGAATGTCAGTCTATGATGAAGAACATTTTGTTGATATTCTCTCAATAGATAACAGTTTATGTTTGGTTGGTTGGTTGATTGATTGATTTTGTTTAGTGGCTTATCAACACCTCTATGGGTTATTTTATGCCAAAATTTCAAGGTAAACATATGTTTTTTTGTTTTTTTAGATATATGTAGTTTGGAGATCATAAAATGCATCATTGATAATTTCACTATTAAAATGTATTTTTATATTTTTTTAGTGTTGTATTCATTGTCATTTTCTATAAAAATCTATTGTTGATCATTTTATTTTGGTCATTTTGCTATAAATAGGTATTATTAGTAATAATTTTTTTTATATAAAAGATATTATTTCACTACAAAAATGTCTTGTTGGTAATTTTTTTATGAAAATGTATTAGTGGTATTTTTACTATATAAAAAAATGTTTTGATTTTTGTTTGGGAGTTCACTATTTACCCATAGCTGGGACCCTAACAGGTGCTAGCATCCAGGGTCAAGGTGGACCTGGAAACAGCAGCAATTAATGGTTCCATGATCCTTAAAACCTCCAATCTCCAGATCAGAGACCTTGCTGCCGGATGTAGTTTATCATCATAACCAGGATTAACACTTAATGTTTCCTCACAAACATGCAAGTGTAGATCCTCAATACTACTGTTCAGTATACGGATGACAAAAAACAAAACCAAACCTCATACAACTAGCTGAGGTACTTGTCTGTACTGTTTAAGAGGGTCCAAACCTCATACAACTAACTGAGGTACCTGTCTGTACTGTTTAAGAGGGTCCAAAATCATATCTTATTGTCATTATTCAGATCTGTCAAAGTTCATTTTCACTAACACTCCATTGATATGGATGATCCTTGTGTTTAGATTAATTGCAATAGGCAGCCTGATAGAAAAACATTTGTTCTTAGTAAATAAAATAAAAACTATTAAAGTAGAAAATATATTTTGGAGAGAAAGTATTCTATGAATTTTTTTTCAAAGCACACACATTACTATCTTGATAGTAATAAAAAATATTCTAGTCTTGCACCAAATGGTTACAAATAGTAATTGTTACTATAAAAGCTAACTCCATATAACAGAAACAAGATACAGCTGTATTGTCTTCATGGGAAAAAAATTTATTAAAATTAAAACTTTCCCATAAGTCCAGTAAAAATTCATACCAAATTTGACAGCTCTATATGAAAGCATTTGGGCATGTACAGGAAATAAACTCTTCTCAACTTTATTTTACTTATTCAGGTTGGGTTGAAGATCATGAAAAGTTCTTGAGGATTTTTATTTAATTTATTTATGGTTTGGACCATTTTTCTGGTTTTCAGGGGACATTTTGAGTGCTTCCAGCTTTTGTAAGCGATTATCAATGAGTTTTAATTTTGTGTTTCAAATGTTGTGTATAGATGCATCCTGTGGTCATGGATCGCACCCATACTACACTGATGGATCGCTTCCATACTATACTGAAGTCATTGAGCATATTCAAAATGAATTTCGTGGATTTATTCATAACAATTAGATAATTATTTTGTATCATCAAAATGAGACAATATCCTGTTTTTCAAGGTGATATAACAGCTGTGATTGACATTTTTACCTTCATAGCGCCCTGTGCTCGTTCACTGGCCCGCTTTCCTTCCAATCCCATTTGAACAAACAATTCCAACAACCTCACTAACAATTCCAATTGTTCATTTTCTCCTTGAATGTTGGCCGAAATGTTTGCAAATGCATTGATCACAGATAAGGACACATGCCTGAAACATTAACAGAAAAACAAGATTAATCAACAGTTTCTTGACTTGTGAGAAAAAACAGCAAAGATGTTCCCAAGTGTTACCTGCCTAGCCCCAAGACCATGCCAGGTGAATTGGTCCAGCAATAAAGAAACCTGTTTAATGGAATTAACAGACTTTTTTGTTTTTCTCACCAGGGTGATGTTTTGAGACAGTAGTATTTGAGACTTTTTAACAGATGCAATATCTCACCTTCAGTTTCTTTGTTGACTATACAGGATGCGATGGATAAATTGTCGCAATTTTATATTTTTAATTTTACACATGCGCATTGTTTTTTGTCAACTGTGCAGTAGAGTAGGGTCATTTCGGTACCATCTTGAGATGTTCCATTATGCTAGATGGGCAAAACTAGTTGCTTGGTTCTGATTGGCTGTTGACACTAGTGCAGATACTGTGATCAATAAATATACATCATTAAACTGTTATGGGTGATTGAGTATATTGAGTTACAGTCCAATTCTTTTTGTCTGCCAACTGGATGCTAGTTTGGGACTTCCTTGTGAGGGTGAGTATCATATTTTGATTCTACATGTCTGTGAGAAAAAGAAAACCATGATGCAATTCACTCTGCCAGAAATTTGGAAACCACATGCTGTACTGCTTGGCATTTATGCCAGAAGCCCCAGTACAAACATTTCAGAGTGGTTGGATGTCAATCTGAGGACAGTGCAAAGGATTTGGAAAGAGTTGCACGAGTCTAATGGTGATTATGAAGGTATGGCAGCTTAGAAAACTCACTCCGATCATTCTGATAAGAAAAGAACTCCAGAATTTGTTGGTGAGGGCATCAGACTCAACACAGAGGCCTACATTGTCTGCATGGAGAAGGTAGCACTACCCTGGGTAAAGAGGGTGGCTGCTGGAAGACCCTATGTCTGACAACAAGACTCTGCACCATGCTAAACAAATAGAAGAACCCAGTCATGGCTGTTAGACAATTTCTGCAACCACATCACATCTTACATCTAGCCAACTCCCCAAACTGCAACCCCACTTGATTATTATATGTGGGGCACAGTTGAATGAGAGACTAACAAAATTAACTCCATGTCTAACCAAAGATGAACTGAAGGCAAGAATTATGGCAGCATTCACCATCTTAAACAAGGAGACCATCCAGAAGGGTTGCAGGAGATTCTGAAGTCATCTGGAGGCGGTGGTTGAAGCCAACGTATTTCGAGATATTTTTGTGTAATTTTGGTAAATATATTTGTTAAAATGAGATGACAGCATTATTTTCATTTTTGCATCATTTTGACAATTTATCCATCGCACCTTATACACCAGGCTTTTTCCAGTTGTGTTCACACAGATACAAATAAAGATATAACCATTTAATGTTGAAGAATCTGACCAGTCAGTGAATAACTGTCCATCAGATCTGGGATAGATTCACAAATTAAAAGACTATAAATGGTACTAAATGGATCCCTGAAAAGATAAACCATTGACATGTCTTTGTACAAAGAGATGTGTTATTTTGCAAAAGAATAACACATCATTAAGAGGTAAACCGGCCACTTGCTATCATAAGTCGTCTTGCCATATACATTAAACCAACCACTTGCTAACATAAGCCATCTCATGATTGACAGAAACTGACCCCCTGCTAACACACGTTCTCTTACCATTGGCATCAAACTATTTGGTAATACATGGCATCTTTTATTTGCAATTACAATTTTCATGAATCTTCTTGCTTGAATAAAAAAAAGCAGAAAAATGTGAAATAAATAACAGGAAAAAAAAAGAAAACAAGAAAAAAAAGGTTTTTGAAGTATGAGTTACTGACCTGTAGTTGTTGACCTTATCTTCTGTATTGTATCGACCGTAAGGGGAGCTACTTTCTATGCTGATCTGAGAAAACATCTTCATAACTTCACCATAAATGCTCGACTAGATAAATAAACAAACAGAAAACATATCAAGAAGATACAACACGACTGATGACATCATTTAAATATACAGTGGAATGCTAAAAAGATTTTGGCTCATTCAAGAAGGAAATGCTCTACAGCCATGAGACATCCAAGATTTTCCACAAGTTCAACCCACAATCTAACACATTCTCAAGTTTTATTAACCCTTGCAGACAAAAATTTTGATGTATGGTCATTGAAATACCACTCCTGCTGCTATTGATATCTTCCACTCTCAAACATTTTTCAAGGCCTGGAAACAGGAAATGTCACATCAGAGTAAAATCTGGCCTATCTGAAGGACAAAGCAGCAAGACCTCAAAATCTTCAAAACATCTTGCCAGCCCTTTGAGCTGGCACATTGTCTTACAGAAAGAATGCTTTTCTACAGCTTTCTTTAACATTATAGGCTTCTCTTAATTGACACAGCAAGGAATGTTAGGGGTCATATTTTGCATTAACTGTTTGGCTCTTTTTGTAAATAGTTACCAAAATATCTTTCATCACCTCTTCCAAAGCCTAAGCTTTAATCTGTGACAAGGAAGAACTCAAGTGCCACTAAAATTGGCTCTTAAATAGGATCAATATTTTCAGAGGTTGACACTATTGAAACTCTCCAAGATCATGCTGTATATCACAATCACAGGTCCCATAACTCATTAGAGTCGTAGGGGCATCACATGCACTACAGCGGCAGCAGAAGTGGAGAGTCTTGTCACCCAAGGCTATAGAACCCGGTCTGTCCTGCTATTTAGCCATAGCTGAGAGGAGAAGAAATAGGTTCATACCTTTCCCAAGGGTATTTGTGCATAAGTGAATCTAACAAACTCAACTGGAATTCAAACTCAGTTCTAACGATTCCTCAATCCAAGTGACAATCCATTACTCCACCGTACCTCCATATGTTGTATATAGAGTCTCAAAAGGACCTAACTAGATGTTGACACACCCACTTCATCAAAACTGAGTATAAGTGCATCTCATAACACAACTGCCATTGTACAATCATGGATTTCCTTTGGCATTTCCTTCTGCACAAACAGAAATTTTGTGACAGTCTAAAGTTAAATACTTGAAAATTCCACACTTTCAATGGCCATGGTTCATTTGCTGATTTGAAACAAATTTTAAAAAATAAGTGCAAGGGATCTGTACAGTTTCACTTTAAAATGAAAAATGAAAATAATTTTTCAGCTACAGGAATATCTTGTTCCCCATCCCCCAAAGAAAGAGAGAAATCAGTCGATGTGACCACTAAATTAGGTCTTTTTATGTTGGCTGGCTGCATCCAGTAAGGACTAAAGATTGCAATGAGGTGTTTGGGGTGGGGGGACAGTCTAAATAAGAAGAAAAAATTGAGAAAAAAGGTAGACTTAAAAAAAAAAAAAAACAGGAGAGAGAGAGAGAAGTGGGGAAAAGAGAAAAGAATGAAGTGGTGGGGAGAAAGTAGGAGAAGAGTCAGTAAAAAAAAAAAAAAAAAAACAGGAGAGAGAGAGAGAAGTGGGGAAAAGAGAAAAGAATGAAGTGGTGGGGGAGAAAAAGTAGGAGAAGAGTCAGTGGGGAAAAAAAAAAAAAAACAGGAGAGAGAGAGAGAAGTGGGGAAAAGAGAAAAGAATGAAGTGGTGGGGAGAAAAAGTAGGGAGAAGAGTCAGTGGGGAAAAAAAAAAAAAAAAAAACAGGAGAGAGAGAGAGAAGAGGGAAAAAGAAAAGAATGAAGTGGTGGGGAGAAAAGTAGGAGAAGAGTCAGTGGGGAAAAAAAAAAAACAGGAGAGAGAGAGAGAAGTGGGGAAAAGAGAAAAGAATGAAGTGGTGGGGGAGAAAAAGTAGGAGAAGAGTCAGTGGGAAAAAAAAAAAAACAGGAGAGAGAGAGAGAAGGGGGAAAAGAGAAAAGAATGAAGTGGTGGGGGAGAAAAGTAGGAGAAGAGTCAGTGGGGGGAAAAAAAAAAAAAAGCAAAGGAGACAAAAAAAAAATGAGAAGTGGGGAAAATTCACTTACACAACCAGCCATTATCATACATCCAAGCTGGTCAATAATGAGTTCATCGAGATGAGATGGAGGTGAACAAAATCGTTGCTGGAATATCTGCAGCACCGATTCTACTGTCTTGGGGGTGTCTTTCAGGGCAACTGCTACATGACCCAGGGTGAGGATAGTGTTGGTTGAGATCAATGCCGATTCCCTGCAGGCAAATTACAAAATTAATCATCATTATTTCTTATGTTCCATTTTCAGTTAACATTACCAAAATGGATGCCAGAATTAAAGGAAGGAGATGAAAAAGAAAAGAAAAAAAAACCTTTCTTTTTGTTGTTAAAATAATAATGGTAGTGAAGACATTTCAAAGTAAAAAATGAAAAAAAAAAATTTAACACTGAAAAAGAAAATTTATGCATTTTTAAAATTTCCAGGATACTTTTTTTTGTTAAATGATTTAAAACAGAAAAATTTTTCAAGGTCATAGAAAACAAATAACATCTGAGAATGACTAAAGAAAATACACTAGTTTATGACTTTCTATTTGACTCACTTCTTTAATCCACTAAGCCATGTGCCTCTTGGACAATCCAGCCATCCATTTTGAAGCCTTAAACTTTATTTTCTGTATTAAATTTATATATATTAAATATGTATAGGTAACTGATTAATTTTTCAGCTTTATATACAAAGCGATTGAAAAGTAACTGCCTATTTCATATATGATGAACTCTCCCATCTAAATATGACACTGTGACTGGTGTTAAAGGTTGACTGGTGATCTACTTTTTATTTCTAAAGAAAGAAAAATATTTTCATGTTAAAGGAATGCAATACTATGAATTATCTGATTTGTGTCACTTATGACTGGTGAAATTGTAAGCTTCAATGGGATTGGTCCTTGGATACAGCTTTAGGTCTGTGTAACTCAAGTTTTAATTTTGATAAAGGAATTGTTTGTTGGAAGGAGTGACACAAAGCAGATCTTTATTAGGTCAGGATTGTGTTGATCAGGAATATAACACACTTTCAGATAGAACTGACAATGATACCTGTGATAATCAGGTCAAATGAGGGCAAGATTCTAGAACATGTAAAATGTTCCACTGAAGGTGAATATGGGTGATACAAAGCCACCATTTTTGATTGGCCTGTCAGTGAGAGAAGGGTTGGGATGGAGCTTCTTGTCTCCCCTCAAATACTTACCACACAAGGTCATTATTTTCACTGCACCACCAAACTTTCCTTCTTCCCCTTTGAGGTACATGGCACAAGACCATTGATTAAGCATTATTATTGGCTGGCCAATCAGAGTAGTGCAATTGGGGTTTGCACCTCCATAAAAAACAGTCACCAAAAGAGCAGAGAAGTAAGATTGAACTGGCCTTATTGCTAGTAGACTAACATTCTCCCTGCTGGATGACCATGGTGTCTCAATCAGCTAAAGGCCTGTCCTCTGTACTACTTTTTTCTTCAATTTCCTCAATCAACTGCCTTTATTTAAATAGTTGAACAACACTGGGCTGTTTAGCCATAACTGTAACTGCCAGTTAACCTCTTCCTCTCAGCTTAAGAATTTCTCACATGGGGGGGGACTTCTTCAAATTCCTTTTGTTTATGTATTCATGATATTAATCATAGTACCATAAATAAAAGTTGTTATTTTTACACTTGTTAATGAGTGCTGTTGAAGTTAATTATGTTTACTGGCAACACTGGTGACTTTGATCTTTTCAAGCATCTTTTATTTCTTGTTCTTTTAACCTTCAACAGTTCTTCACCAATAACTGTAACACAACGTGGGGGTGCAGGATTGGTGCAGAGTGGGGGCTTGCCAAGGACAGACCAACAAAAACAGACCAGAGTAAGAGTGGCATTCAGTGAAGCACACAGCAACAAGGTCATATAGCTATAATTTTTACAAGATGGGATAGTCAATCGTACATAAAACATACATATAGTGCTACAGAAATGTAGGATGCCCATGGCTTAGATACAAAGACAAGCTGAAGAGCAACTTGTCAGCTGTCAATATACCTCATAACATCCTTGAGTGCTCTGCCTTGGAGCGGAAATCAACATATTTTAGTGGTTTCCAACCTGCTAGTCTGAATAGTCTCCAAGAAGTGAGAGCAAGATCTAAAAGGTCAGCCAATCTAACAGTGACCTCATTCCACAAGCCTTACTCTTGCTCCATATGCAGCCTCCTTTGCAAATGACTTTCACGTCTTAACTGTCACTTAAGATTATCGCACAAAATTCATAACTGAATCAATTGGTTAAGTTCCTCATACGTCAAAACTGATGGGAGAGTCCATTATATATATATATATATATATATATATATATATATATATATATATACGTTTCATTAAATAATATAGACAAGTGTTGTCTATTTATTTTATGTAAAATTTTTTCGTATCTTCTGATAAGTTTGGTAACATTATCATTAACCAAAAAAGAAATTCACAATATTTATCCATTATTTTTTAATAAAATCTAAGCTTTTGGGCTTACTCAAGCCATTATCAAAGATGTAATTACAAACATATCAAACAATATAATGGACACGACAGTGATGATAGACTGTCATTGTTTTGTTTACATAGTGGATCACTACAACGATGAACACGCGCATATAAGACGCTAGAAGCGAAAATTTGACCGCATCTCATGACGTCACATGACTACATGAGAGTGAATTGTAGAATGAAATAAGGAAAGCCGTTGGTATAAACCAATGGCTTCTGTTACCAATTATAGAAATTATAGACATTTAAGAATATTTGTAGAGATTCCATAGTTGATTTTGTTTAGGTTGGGTTTTATACCAAAACATCGTTAAACTCCAGGATGAACAACTAATAGAAACAACACCAGAATTTAAAGACTTACTTAAGGCCGAGGCACTGAAAGATCGACATGATAAAAGCAGAAACTCCTCAAAAATTCTTTTTCTAAACAACTGAAAATTGTTTATAAGAACTACATAACCACCCTGACATTATTGTAAAAAAAACTGATAAGACCAACATTTTTGTCATCCTAAACAAATTGGATTACAACAAAAAACTAAACCACATACTCCATGATCACATAAAAGTTTAAAAACTTAACAAGAACCGACCAACCAACTAAAATCAAAGCTTAATAAACTTATTAATGCTAATAATGCTGAACAGAACTCTTTAAAACTCCCTAAAATTGTTGGTGATTATAGACCTGGCTACATATATGGCACTATAAAAACACATAAACCTAACTATCCTCTCCGTCCTATCATATCGCAAATTCCAACTCCTGTATATCATCTAACAAAATACATCAACCAACTTATTACTCCCTATCTTCCTAGTAAATATAGTGTTAAGTCAACATTAGAAGTAATCCAAATCCTAAAAAGTGAAAAACCTGACAATGAAATCATGGCTTCACTTGATGTTGAAAACTTATTTACCAATGTCCCTGTTAGTGAAACTATTGACATAATCATAAGAAATATATACAGTAACTCATCTTAAAATTAATCCTAATATATTAAGAAAACTACTATTAACTTGTACTACTGAAGTCCCTTTCTTCGATCATAACAATATATATATACAACGTGATGGTGTCTCCATGGGTTCAGTATTGGGCCCGACATTTAGCAATTTCTACATGTCGAACCTCGAAAGATTTTAAAAAACCATCAATCTACCTAAGATACGTTGATGATATTCTTATGTTAGTTAAAAATACAGATGAAATAATTCAACTTCAAAAACGGTTCCAAAATAATTCTGTCCTTAAATTCACATATGAACTCAATACTAATAATAAAGTCCCCTTCCTTGACATATTGATAAACACAAATAATAACAAATTTACTATTTCACATACACAAAAAACCTACAAGCATAAATTCATGTACACTTAACTACAAGAGCAAATGCCCATATTACTACAAAATAGCAATTATAAAGAATCTAATACATCGTGCAGAAACTAATTCATCCACCAAACAGATTTTTTACAGTGAACTAAAGAATATAAAACAGACACTTATTAATAATAGCTTTCCAAACTATATAGTTGATGAACAAATAAGATGCTTTCTTAGAAATCTCAATAATAAGCAAATTGTACATAATACTGCTTCTACTGATCTCAAATATATTAATCTCTATATCGTAATCAAATGCATACTAATTAAGATGAACACATACTAAAAAAAATTTAGTAAATTCTAATATATCAACTACAGATCCTAGCAAAAAAAATTAAATTAATCATATACTACACTAAATCTAGTATATCCAACTTAATACTTCGCAATGATTCTTCTCCCCGGTTAGCGATTTGCAAAAAACCAACATAGTTTATAAATTCAAGTGCCCTTTGGGAGAGTGTATCTCAACGAATTAAATAATATTTATGTTGGTCACACCACAAACTCCTTTCACGACGCTTGACACTACATTTTAATGAAAACTCTAACATTTTTAGGCATTTAAAACAACATGCCTGCCACTTTTACACAATTCCATAAAATACTTGTCGAAAACACAACTATACTTCGACATGAAAACAATAGACAAAAACTAAAAATACTTGAAGCATTATACATCAAACAGTTAAAACCAACCTAAACAAAATCAACTATGGAATCTCTACAAATATTCTTAAATGTCTATAATTTCTATAATTGGTAACAGAAGCCATTGGTTTATACCAACGGCTTTCCTTATTTCATTCTACAATTCCTCTCGTGTAGTCATGTGTGACGTCATGAGATGCGGTGCGATTTTCGCTTCTAGCGTCTTATATCGCGTGTTCATCGTTGCTTAGTGATCCACTATGTAAACAAAACAATGACAGTCTATCATCACTGTCGTGTCCGTATATTGTTTGATATGTTTGTAATTACATCTTTGATAATGGCTTGAGTAAATAAAAGCTTAGATTTTATTAAAAATAATGGATAAATATTGTGAATTTTTTTTAGGTTAATGATAATGTTACCAAACTTATCAGAAGATACGAAAAATTTTACATAAAATAAATAGACAACACTTGTCTATATTATTTAATGAAACGTGTATAAATGAAAATATGCTGCCTAAATACACACAATATATATATATATATATATATATGCACACACACACACACACACACGTATGTGTCTCTGCAATTTACCCTTTAAAAATACTTATAAAC